ATCTACTGCTGCACAATTGCATTCGCCCAAAGCAGAGCGATTTGATTCGTTCCAGTACTGTGAATACTGCTTTCGACAAGGTTGAAATATGATCACAAATGAGATCGCCTTCCTGAGCTGTCCCAACTTCGAAGTAGGGACAGCGAAAAGTGCACATGGCACGTGCAAGACATTGGGCATTGTGATGAGGTGGCGGGAGGACGAATGTGGACGTCGCAGTTGGGTTGAGCCCCCCAATGTGCGAAGACCCCGCAAGATCGGACCAGTACAGTGCAACATCTTGTCCGTCTAACCCCATGGGATGCGATCGCAGAGTGTAGATGGAGTCGTGCAGTGAGTATTGATTGGGCGCTGGGATGTGGAACGCCGAAACGGTCGCACACACAGAGGTTGGTGAGGACGTGAAAGCATCTTTTGAGCTGCCAGGCTGGACCCACCGCGGTGAACTTTTGGGGGGCTGTCCTGTCCCAAGTTCGCATGAAGGCCCTCTGATTCAGACATGCACTCGCGGCCACGAAGAAAGTTGGAATCTGTGCTGGTCCTGAAACAAACTTGTACTATGTGCAGCTTGTTGCAAAGAGTGTTGGCCTTTCCATTTCAATTGCATCTCGTAGGAAGTCAGCTGGTTTCTTGCAAAACTGAATATACTAGCTGAAATTGCGAAGGTGGAAAAAGTCTTTCTTATGTAAATAACAAGCCAGAATGCAACACTAACTTACTGATCTGCACATATTTGTTTCCAGGGTTTCCGCGAGTCCACTCACCACTCGCCATGTGGGCATCAGCAAAGATTTCCCCGAATATATTGCACTTGGTAGCGTCGGTAGCGCTCAGCAGCGCTACCATTTCGCTAGACGACGCTACCGAGTGAGTCAGCATGCTGACCGCGGGCAGAAAAAAAAATAAAACCCATTCGGACTCCATGCCATTCGGGAACCTCAACCGTAAAAAATTAGGATTGATGCCTCCCGAGTGGGTTTTATTGTTTTCCTTGCCCGCTGACTCATTGCACTGCCTGCTGACGCAGGCAGTACAATATATAATCCAGATTCAGCCAGGAATTCCTTACCGCAGTCAAACGCACTTTACCGAACGAAGCTTTCTTACTCGAAGTGCGGCTAGGGATGTCATTTCTATCGCAAAAGCAGCTCCCTGTTTCGTTTGTTTATCGGATTCAGCCAGTGCTTTTTTATTTCAGTTATTTCCGTTATCTCCGTGTTTCCGTCAGTCTCCGTGGATGATCATGGAAGACGAAATTATCGCGGCTCGACTAACAGATAACTCGTCCGGCTGCGTTCCGTCTCATGCGGATGTTTCATCTTGTAACGGAAGCACCGTTGCAAATTCTGGCGACATTCTCGATTCTTCCTCGAGTGACGTCAGCACAGCCTGTCACCGCACGCCTCCTCGATCCTGGAAACACGCAATGTCGCCGGGACTCACGGAAATCGAAGAGATAGTTGAGGAGTTCTCGAGTCGCGACAACGAACCTTTCGATTTTAAATCCGTGACTTCTGAGCACTTGCCAGGAGCTGAGGCTGTTAATAAAGCGGATGCTGACAAAGTTTTTGAGAAATCAGCAAGTTTACCCCCTTTATCGCCAGGCATCAGAAGTCCCCTTTTCTCTAAGGGATCAAGATCCCCTCTTTATTATCACGGAGATAGGTCCCCAATTCCGCCCTCCCCGCCTCTCCATGACTCGGGGATTAGGTCTCCCCTTGCGCATTCACCTTTGCGTTCCCCCGGCCTTCCTCCGCGCAGCATTTCCAGCAAATCTGCTAGTTCCGCAGTTCCCCCTCCCGCGACACTTTCCGCGGGTCCCCCATCGGCGGATGCTCCTTCCTCAGGCTCCCCTTCAGCGGAACCTGAAGGGTTACTGACGAATAGGGTTTCCGCCAAGGCCGAACGTGACAGTAACGAAGGACTTTCGAATTCGACTTTCGAGGACGCGGAAAATGCGGCCAGGACAGGAGCGTCGGCGGGCTGCGAAGCTGGATTAGCAGCAGGAGAGGGAGGGAAAGGTGCGGCAGAAGGGGAAGCAGCGGAAGGAGCAAGGGAAGGGCCAGCAGCAGGAGCAAGAGAAGCAGAATCGGCAGGCTGGAGCGCGTCCGGTATTGATTCGATCAGCGGCGATGAGAGCTCAGGCGCCGGCAGCAGCTACAATGCTGCAGCAGTGGATCTCGCAGGACCGTCGGGGGAAGCAGGAGGAGCAGGGGGGGCAACAGAAGTAGCAGAAGCATCAGCAGCTGGAGCAGCAGGAGCAGCAGGAGAAGGAGCTTCCGCAGAAGCAGGAGGAGCAGGGGCAGATTCGGAATTGACAGGCCTTGAACCGAACGGAGGAGGAGCAGGAGAGGCAGGGTTAGGAATGAGCGCATTCGGAAGCGGGAAAGGGGCGGGAGGGCTGGGTGAGGGGAGCGTAATGAGAGGATTTGGAGAGGGAAAGGGAGTGGGCGGAGGAGGGTTGAGGAGGCAGGGAAGCGGGGTGGTGGGGGGATTGCGGAGGGAGGGGAGCGTGGGGCTGCGGAGGGCGGGAAGCGGGTTTCATGCGGGCATGCGCACTACCAGTGACGTTATGGCGCAGATGCGGGGGGTATCCGCGGGGGGGGGCGGGGAAGGGGGCGGGGAAGGGGGCGGGGAAGGGGGCGGGGGAGCGGCGGGCAGGCGCGGGTTTGGAGGGGAGACGGATTGTTCGGTGTGCAAGCTGATTGCGCTGTATGGCGCGACTGGGCAGGAGATCCATAGGTCGTCGTGCCCTCGTGCTAAGAAAGACGCTGGTGAGTGCAAGAGGGGAAGGGGGGAGAGAGGGTAGTGTGTGCAAGCTGATTGCGCTGTATGGCGCCACTGGGCAGGAGATTCGTCGGTCGTCGTGCCCTCGCGCTAAGAAAGATGCTGGTGAGTGTGAGAGAGAAAGGGAGAGGGTTAAAGGTGGCTGGTAGTGGTGAGGAAAGAGGGCAATGGGGGGACGAGGACAGAGGGGAGGGGGTGTTATCCCTTGAAGGAGCAGGGGGCATTTGAGGCTCAGAAGACGTTTATTCCTCTCGCCCCTTGCCGATCCCCTCCCTCCTTTCTAAGGTACTCCTGGCGCTGCCAGCGTCAGGTACTCACTGGAGGGCATGTTAGAGATGAGCAGTACGCGCACACTCGCCTCATGGTGGCGGCACAGGAGGTGCTGGAGACTCAGAGGAAACGTATCCTTCTGTCTCTCTCTTCTATCTCCCTCTCAGGCGCGTCTGGTGCTGGCAGTGCTAAGCCAGGGTCGCTAGAAGGCATGTTGGAGATGAGCAGTGCGCGCACGCGCCTCATGGTGGCGGCACAGGAGGTGCTGGAGGCTCAGACGCGCCTGGGCATGCACAGCGTATCTACTACAGTGGGAGAGAAGGCCGCTTCTGGGGGAGGTGGAACTGGGAAGGTGGAGAAGGGAGGAGGCGGGAAGGGAGCGGGCAGTGAGGGTGGTACTGGCAGTGGTGGGGGTGGGGGTGCTGGTTCTGGTGGTGGTGGTGATGGGAGTAGGAAGAAGTCTGGGGGATTTGCAGGGCTGATGCGGACAAGCAGTAATGCAGCGTCAGGTGGAGGGGGGCCCGGGGGAGGGATGAAGGGCATGGGGTTAGGGGGGCTGATGAGAACCAGCAGCAACGCCGGCAGCAGCAGCAGCGGTGGCAGCAGTGGTGGCGGTGGAAGTGGGGGTGGGGTTGGGGCCGGGGGAGGGATGAAGGGCATGGGGCTGGGCGGGCTGATGCGAACCAGCAGCAACGCCGGCAGCAGCAGCAGCGGTGGCAGCAGTGGTGGTGGTGGGGGTGGGCTTGGGCTGGTTCGGACAAGCAGCAGTGCGGCCAAGGAAGTAGGCTTGGCTGGTGGAGGTAGATATGGTTTGCCTGGAAGCAAGTCTGCGAGTGGGGGAGGGGGGTTTTCCCGTTCCAGCAGCACTTCTTCTCCTCTGGGCGGCAGTGGTGGGGGTGGCCTTGGTGGTAGTGGCGGCAGCAGTAGTGGTGGAAAGGGGTTGAGTGGGTTGGGGAGCAATATAGGAGGGTCTGGGCTGAGGAGGTCGAGCAGCAATGCGGGGAGTATGAGTGGGAAAGGGGTGGGGGGTGGTGGTGGGGGAGGGGGGTCTGGGGGTACTGTGGTGGGGAAGTTGAAACGGTGGATCTCTGGTGTTGAGCAGGGTCATTTGAAATGAGAATGTAGTGTAGTGCTTGTTACCTACTAGAATGTCTGCTTCTTTCAATATGATTTTTTTTTTGAAAGTGTGTAACACTTTCTAAAACTGTGTATTGTGAAAGCGCAGCTTACTGTAGCGAAGCAAGGCAATGGCGAATTACTATTCGCCGAGTACATAACGAGGGTTGGAGGCCTTTTGGCCTCCACCCACGTCTTCATTTCGGAACTTTGCAGTTCCATTCCCCACCCACCCACCCTAGTCGTATACTTGTAAAATCTATAATTAGGTTGGACGAGAATGATGTAATTACTCCAACTGTAATGAAGCACGTTGCCTTTGCAAGAACAGAAAGCAAGCTTTCTCAATTTTGTTTTTGTGCTCATTCGGGTCTTGTTCCCTGTCTGTCCGATTTTGCAAGAAACATGACTAGACCTTAGGGTGCCTATATTTAGCCACAAAGTAGGGTACAGATTAGGAAGCATTACGCACAAGCACACGTGCAAGCCAGTGGATGTTACAACTGGGTTAGTCTAAAAAAATAGCAGTGGTGGAAACCTATCAACCTTAAACAAAAGGGCAAGCAGCTACCACCGTATAAACACACGCAATGCAAGCACGCTACACAGCGAGCAACATACGCTGCCCATGTTGGAAATTATAGCAAAATTAACAAGCAGGCAAGCAAGTAGTACGGTATACACACGCGGTTCATAAAGCAAAAAGCAACTTACACTACCCATAACAACCCACGACTTCTGGCCGGCAGTATCAGGTCCAGGTTCCGAATCATCTCCTCACCCGAGCCAGCCCTTCTGGCTCGGCAGGATCAGGTCCGGGTCCCGAATCATCTCCTCATCCGAATCTTCTGGCTCGGCAAAATCAGGTCCGGATTCCGAATCTGCGGGTTCAGCTTCACAACCTCGGTCCACTTCATCCCACTCCCATGAACCTTCTGGGAAAGACTCCACAGCGTATCCCCAGGCTGAACCGTCACCTTAGCCGGCTTCGCATGCTTCCCAAACAACCCACTCGCACCGCCCTTCCCCTCCTGCCTCTTCCCCATGCCGTTTGCCGCCAGCCACCTCCCCCCTGCCTGTGCTTGCTTCTGCGACCCCCACCCTCTCCCTGGTGCCTCTTCTGCTTTCAGCCCGGCCACATGCACTGCTTTAAGCTTGAATCGGGGTGGGGCGGTGGAGGGGAACGTTGGGGGTCGGGCAGCAGAGGGATGAGAGACAGCCGAGGTGACATGGCTGTGATGGCCTGTGCCTGTGGCGTTAGTCCACGGCTGTAGCGCAGATGGTGCTGAGCTGGCACCATGCCACGGCTGTAGCGCCGTCTGTGCTGAGCCGGTTGCATCAACCTCAGAATATTCCAAGGAAAGCTGGGCCCTGATGGCACTATCAGTGTGGGTGGCAGAGCCATGGATAGGCGAGGCAGCGTGCTCCAAAAGACCTTGAGCACAGTACCCTTCCAACAGGGCTTGATGCTGGTGGCTTCCCATGAGGTGAGGGTGGTGGTGCGTGCCGAGAGCAGAAGAGGTGGGACCACCCAAACCAGCAACACCTCCACCACCACCGCCGCCGCCAATACCAGGAATGCGACCAGCGGCAGCAGCAGGTGGTGCTGGTGCGGGTGTTGGTGCTCTCTCTGCTTGCAGCATCGCCATCATCGGTGCTCCCACTGGCTCAAAATTCCGCAGAGGATCCCTCAGCTGAACCACCATGGCCACTGTCACATTGTCTCCTAGCATACCCCCTGTTACAGGGTTACCAACCACACCCCCTGTTACACTGTTCCCCACCACACCCCCTGTTACTGTGTTTCTTTGGCCTGCTGTCAACCCCATTCCCCTTCCAAAGCCCCCCACCATCTGCCTAGACTCACCCTCCCAGCCTCCTACGGTCATGCAGCCTGCATCCACACTCCCTGCAGGCACCAACTGCCCTCCAAACCCATCTGCACCGCGCAGCACCATCTGCTTCCCCTCATCCCCCTCGCTCCCCTCCAGCAGCCCTGCTATCCCATGAGCCTTGCAGTGTGCTCGCAGCACCTCCTGAGCATCTCTATCGGACTCCACTGCATCCCACACCCCTGCATCCAGCTGCTGCCACTCCTCCACTGTCAGCGCTGCCCCAAGCAGCCCTCTCGGCCCACCTCCCCCAATGTAACCACCAGTCTGGTTACCAGCAATCTGGTTACAACTAGACTGGTAACCAGCACCGCCCAGAACACCCCTCGACCCGCCAGTCACGTAACCCGCAGGGTAACCCGCAGAATACCCCAACTGCCCGGATTCTCCCAGGGTAATAGCCCCTGGTGCGTGCAACTCGCTTTGATCATTCTGCACTCTAAGCCCTTCCACTAACAGAGCTTCTATCTGCTCCACAGCCAAGGCCCCCAGCTCACCCAAACCCACATACTCATCCTCATCCTCTCCCACTGCCTCCAAGGCAGCAGCTAAAGTTGTGCCTGCCATCCCAGCATTTCCAGAAATCATGTTCCCTTCTGCACCACCCGTGCCCATGGCTAGAGTCCTACCGGTAGCATCACCCGTACCGGTGCCTATATTTAGCCACAAAGTAGGGTACAGATTAGGAAGCATTACGCACAAGCACACGTGCAAGCCAGTGGATGTTACAACTGGGTTAGTCTAAAAAAATAGCAGTGGTGGAAACCTATCAACCTTAAACAAAAGGGCAAGCAGCTACCACCGTATAAACACACGCAATGCAAGCACGCTACACAGCGAGCAACATACGCTGCCCATGTTGGAAATTATAGCAAAATTAACAAGCAGGCAAGCAAGTAGTACGGTATACACACGCGGTTCATAAAGCAAAAAGCAACTTACACTACCCATAACAACCCACGACTTCTGGCCGGCAGTATCAGGTCCAGGTTCCGAATCATCTCCTCACCCGAGCCAGCCCTTCTGGCTCGGCAGGATCAGGTCCGGGTCCCGAATCATCTCCTCATCCGAATCTTCTGGCTCGGCAAAATCAGGTCCGGATTCCGAATCTGCGGGTTCAGCTTCACAACCTCGGTCCACTTCATCCCACTCCCATGAACCTTCTGGGAAAGACTCCACAGCGTATCCCCAGGCTGAACCGTCACCTTAGCCGGCTTCGCATGCTTCCCAAACAACCCACTCGCACCGCCCTTCCCCTCCTGCCTCTTCCCCATGCCGTTTGCCGCCAGCCACCTCCCCCCTGCCTGTGCTTGCTTCTGCGACCCCCACCCTCTCCCTGGTGCCTCTTCTGCTTTCAGCCCGGCCACATGCACTGCTTTAAGCTTGAATCGGGGTGGGGCGGTGGAGGGGAACGTTGGGGGTCGGGCAGCAGAGGGATGAGAGACAGCCGAGGTGACATGGCTGTGATGGCCTGTGCCTGTGGCGTTAGTCCACGGCTGTAGCGCAGATGGTGCTGAGCTGGCACCATGCCACGGCTGTAGCGCCGTCTGTGCTGAGCCGGTTGCATCAACCTCAGAATATTCCAAGGAAAGCTGGGCCCTGATGGCACTATCAGTGTGGGTGGCAGAGCCATGGATAGGCGAGGCAGCGTGCTCCAAAAGACCTTGAGCACAGTACCCTTCCAACAGGGCTTGATGCTGGTGGCTTCCCATGAGGTGAGGGTGGTGGTGCGTGCCGAGAGCAGAAGAGGTGGGACCACCCAAACCAGCAACACCTCCACCACCACCGCCGCCGCCAATACCAGGAATGCGACCAGCGGCAGCAGCAGGTGGTGCTGGTGCGGGTGTTGGTGCTCTCTCTGCTTGCAGCATCGCCATCATCGGTGCTCCCACTGGCTCAAAGTTCCGCAGAGGATCCCTCAGCTGAACCACCATGGCCACTGTCACATTGTCTCCTAGCATACCCCCTGTTACAGGGTTACCAACCACACCCCCTGTTACACTGTTCCCCACCACACCCCCTGTTACTGTGTTTCTTTGGCCTGCTGTCAACCCCATTCCCCTTCCAAAGCCCCCCACCATCTGCCTAGACTCACCCTCCCAGCCTCCTACGGTCATGCAGCCTGCATCCACACTCCCTGCAGGCACCAACTGCCCTCCAAACCCATCTGCACCGCGCAGCACCATCTGCTTCCCCTCATCCCCCTCGCTCCCCTCCAGCAGCCCTGCTATCCCATGAGCCTTGCAGTGTGCTCGCAGCACCTCCTGAGCATCTCTATCGGACTCCACTGCATCCCACACCCCTGCATCCAGCTGCTGCCACTCCTCCACTGTCAGCGCTGCCCCAAGCAGCCCTCTCGGCCCACCTCCCCCAATGTAACCACCAGTCTGGTTACCAGCAATCTGGTTACCACTAGACTGGTAACCAGCACCGCCCAGAACACCCCTCGACCCGCCAGTCACGTAACCCGCAGGGTAACCCGCAGAATACCCCAACTGCCCGGATTCTCCCAGGGTAATAGCCCCTGGTGCGTGCAACTCGCTTTGATCATTCTGCACTCTAAGCCCTTCCACTAACAGAGCTTCTATCTGCTCCACAGCCAAGGCCCCCAGCTCACCCAAACCCACATACTCATCCTCATCCTCTCCCACTGCCTCCAAGGCAGCAGCTAAAGTTGTGCCTGCCATCCCAGCATTTCCAGAAATCATGTTCCCTTCTGCACTACCCGTGCCCATGGCTAGAGTCCTACCGGTAGCATCACTCGTACCAGCGAGAACCATGTTCCCTCCGCTCTTGCCCATCAGCACAAGCGCCTGCCTGAGTTCCCTATCCATCTCCTCCTCCTCTTCACACTCCCCTAGAGACTGATTCCTTTCCCCTCCTCCTGCTCCTCTTCCTTCTCCTCCTCCTCCTCCGCTGCTGCCTATTAGGTGCTGCCCCCGGCGTCGCAGGCGAGCCAAGGCTGCTGCTGCCTGTGCCTGCCTCACAGCCAGAGCAGAGGAGGAAGAGGAGGAGAGGGCAGAGGAAGAGTGGGAGACTGAGACTGCAGAGGAGCTGCCACGGCTGATGATAGCACCTGAAGAACCACCTGAAACGCCCTCCAGGTATCCTCCCAGGTGTCCCTCCAGGTAGCCTCCCTGGCTCCCTTGCAAATATCCCCTTGTCCGTCCCAGCTCCTGCCCCTCCAAACTCCCTCTAACCCCTCCCGCCAACCCTCCAACTCCTCCCAACCCTCCCGAACCTCCCAATCCTCCCACTCCTCCCTCCCAGTTCCACCCTCCTTCGAGATAAGCCATCCCTTCAGCTGCAATCTGCTCGAGAGGCTTCCCGCTGATGTCTGGGAGGGGCATGAGCGCCAGGACTTGGTCTGTGAGGGACGGGGCGGAAGGATCCGCAGCAGAGGCCGCTGCTAGGCGCTGCAGGAGCGGGAGCACGGAGGAGGGATCAGAACCAGCAGCAGCAGCAGCAGCAGCAGCAGCAGCAGCGGCGCCAGCAGTGGCAGCTCCGGCAGTAGCAGCAGCACCTCCAGAAGGGAGAGGCAGGAGCTTAGAAGATCCTGCTTCAGACGACGCTAAGGACGCTAGTTCTGACGGGATGACCATGGAGCGAGAGAATTGCATCACCAGCCGCGTGGCCCCTTCTCCAAAGTGCTGCCCAGACATAGACGCTAAGAACCCCCCTCCCTGCAGCGCTATAGCCGACCCCATCCCGTCTAGGAGCGGAGGAGGGGCGTTGGAAGTAGGGAGGGCGAGGAGGAGAGGGTCCGTGGCTTTGAGGTGGGCGAGAGGGGAGGGGAAGGGGGAAGGAGAGGGGGTGGGTCGGGGTGGGAGGTGGGGTGGGATGGTGGCGGGGGATGTGACGGGAGGGGGGATGGAATCCGGTGCTAGGAGTGAGGAGGCGAAAGAGGGAACGGGAGATGGTACCAGGGGGGGTAGAGCAGCAACAGCAGCAGCAGCAGCAGCGCCAAGGGGAAGGGAGGTGAGGGGTGCCTTGATGGTTGTGACTGCAGCTGATCCCTTTTGGAACGTGCCAATGGCGCAATCACTTGCAGTTTTGGCGCTAGCAGCAGCAGTAGGCATGGCAGAGAAGACAAGGCCATTGGGGAGAGACAAGTCCCGCAGAATGCACTGGGGAATGCGCGACACAGGACTCTCAATGCGCGTCACACTCTCATCACCTCCCTTCCTGCTGCTGCTGCTGCTGCTGCTGCTGCTGCTGCTGCTGCTGCTGCTGCTTCGTCGCCTGCTGCCCACTGCTATAAAGCTGGTGTGGTGATGATGCCCACAACCAACCATGGCCCCTTCCCCTCCCCCTCCCCCTCCCCCTCCGCCGACTGCTCCCATGCTGAATCCTCCCTTTGCTGCAGCCGCCGCCACTTCTCCCAGCTCCCCCCCGCGTGCGTTAGCAGCTGCAGCAACCGCAACCGCAGCAGCTGCAGCAGCGGCAGCGGCGGCAGCGGCGACCGCTGGACTGCTGCTGCTGCTGCTAAAGGAAGCGCGCTTTCGTGGAAGCTGCTCGTCATCTTCCTCTGAGTCGACTTCAGCTGTCCCAGCTCCCCTGACCGGCCTCGGAACAGCCAGTGCCCCGGAAACTCCTCCTCTAACAACAAGAGCCAACGCGGTTTCTGCAGGAGCGGTAGCACCAGCAGCAGAAGCACCAGCAACACCAGCAACACCAGCACCAGCAGCACCAGCCACAGCAGCAGTGGCATTGGTAGCAGTAGCAGCAGTAGCAGAAACTCCATGCGCAGTTTCAGCAGAAAAGGCACGAGCGGTGTCGGCGAAATGGGATCGTTTACCCAAGAAGTGCTTATGCAGCTCTGCCTCCTCCTCCTCCTGCAACTGAAGCGCCCTCCGCCTGCTCCTCTCCTCCACCTCCGCCCTCCGCTTTTCTGCCTCCGCCTTTCTTTCCTCTTGCTCCCTTTCCCTCTTAGCGTGAGCTAGGTGATCCTCTACTTCTTCCTCCTCCTCTTCCTCCTCCTCGTCGTCTTCCTCATCCTCTTCCTCCTCTTCCTCCTCTACCTCCTCTTCCTCCTCTCCTCTCAATGCCTCGCATTCCCCAACACCTCCTTTTTCGTCCTCTCCCTCCTCCTCGACCACTCCCTCCCCATCACCACCGCTCTCTACCGCTCCCGCTCCCTTTCGATCCCCACCAACCTCTTCACAATCAACATCACGCTGACCATCCATCTCAGAGCCAATACCCCGCTCCTTCTCCACCCTCTCCTCATCCCTCCGCTCACTGCTCACCTCCTCTTCTTCCTCCTCCTCTTCCCCTTCCTTCCCCCTCCCGACCTCCTTCCTCTCACTCCTCTCAACCCCGCCTTCTTCCCTCTCCCCTCCGCCATCCATACTATCCGAGCTCGTATCATCAAGCACAAAGCTGCGGGTGCTATCGCTGCCCGATACCGAGTCTTGGGGCTCTAGAAGAACGGACGCAGGAGAGTTCAGAACAGCACCTGCTGATGCCGCTGTGACTGGTAACCTGGTAACCGCATCTCCAGTCGCTTGCTCCTTCGCAGGAGCCGCATCCACAGGGTGGATTTCCTTTGGCAAAGCAGCACCGTTGATCCTAACCTCCTCGGAGTCAATCCGACCGTCCAATACTGATCCAAAGGTCGCTCTTGCCTCTCGCTCCGCTAAGAGCTGTTTCTCCTGTTCGCTAACGGTCCGCTCGAACTCCAAAATTGCTTCTGCCATACGCGACAGACCGCCGGTGGTACGAGACCTCCCCTCACTCTCGGACTTCTTCTCACTCTCAGACCTCCCCTCACTCTCAGACATCCCCTCACTCTCAAACTCCTTTGCACTCACAGACTCCCCCTCACTCTCACACTCCTTCGCACTGTCAGAACCTCCCTCACTCTCAGACCTCCCACTGCAAGAGCCACTCCCCTCAACCACCGAACTCCCTTCCTCCACACCCGCTTCCTCCTCCGTCTCCTCCACCCTCTCCCTCACGATTCCCTCACTCGTCTCATCACTAATTTCAAGATTAACTCCAGCCTCTTCCCTCCTCCCATCCTCTGCCATCCACAGGTATCCTCCCCCCTCATTCCCCGCGCCGCCGCCCCATGTCCCTTCTCCGCTTTCCCCAATGGCAATCACCGACCCCAGTCGCGCCGTTCCCGCGCTACTATCACCCTCCATTGCAACCACCTCTTTCACCTGCTCCTCCGCCTCCTCCTCCTCTTCTTCCTCCTCTTCCTCCTCTTCCTCTTCCTCTTCCTCCTCTCCCTCCTCCTCCACTTCCGCGTCCTCGGCCGCCTCTCCATTCCCTCCTTCCGTTCCTCCATCCCCCACGTTCCACTGACTTAAACTTTCTCCCAAGTATCCGTTTGTCACCGCGTCGTCAGGACTTGGCTCTTCTTTGGATTCGATTCCCTCGCATTCTTCTTCTATCACCGGCCGCATGGTGCTCGGAGTGGTGGGTTTAAAGCCGTATCCGTAACTCGCGCTCCGCGCGTGACCCATGGGCGAATCCGGTAACGCCAGCAAGATTTCGCGCGGCCGTGGCGAGAATTCGTCGGCGAAGCTGTGCGACGGGCTGGAGCCGTACGACGATGGGCTGTCAGGCGGACTATTCGAGAACAACGCCACGCTCGGGGCGGGCGACGCTTCTGCGACGCTGGCGGCGAACTGGCGAAATGATTTCGTATCCACCCGTGCGACAATCGGCTGTCCCTTGCCGAGATTCAACTCATACCCAAACGTCGCCACTAAAACGCCTCCGTCAGCCGGGCCGGTAAGTTTAAACGTTAACGTCTGCGGTTCCCCTTCCGTCAGCGGACGAAGCTTCGACGGTAAGAAACTCGCCAGATTAACAGAATGGCTTGCAATCTCAGCTTCATATCCAAATCCGACAGATTTCAACAGCTGAACCGCAATCATCGACTTCTTCGACTGAAACTTAACGGACTGCTGGGATCCAGCGGTGTAGTAGACGGAAGACTTTATCGTTAACGTCTGCTCCAGTTTCGCCACTCCTCGACGGACCGTCATGGAGCTACTACCGATAGACATTCCGCGTCGTTGCCATTGCACGATGAGCTCTTTCCCCTCCATGGTTGGCGGAAGGTCATCAACGCCGTGTACGTGCATCGCGAAAGTACAAGTCGCTTTTTTCATCCCCACGCGTACCAATGCTTTAAGAGGTCCCAGCTTGTCGATTAACCAGACCTTCTGCGGAGGTTCGGGGATGCGTAGGCTCTGGCTGAACCGAACCTGGTCCGCGAGCCAGGCTCGGAAGTCGACGGCAGCAGTGGGGGCCGCGCTGCCGTATGCGTCGTTCAGGTTGCTGAAGGTAAGATTGCGACGAATGGTGGGATTTGTCGCTGAGGCGTCGTTTAAGTCGCCGAAGGTATGGTTACGACGGATGTTAGAAGTTGTCGCGTAGGCGTCATTTACGTCGCTGAAAGTGCGAGTCCGACGCATTTGAGGAGCTGTCGCAGGCGCGTCGTTCAGACCGCCGGATTTACGATTGCGACGCATGGGAGAAATTGTCTCAGGGGTGTCGTTCAAGTCGCCGTAAGTACGATTGCGACGCATGGGAGGAGTTGTCGCATAGGCGTCGTTCAGTTCGCCGTAAGTATGATTCCGACGCATGGGCGGAGTTTTCGTGGGAGTTGTTGCGGGCGGCGGGGTTGTCGCAGACGACGCAAGGATAACCGTGCTTTCTTTCGCACTCACGCTGCGACCATACGATGCGAGTCCCATCTTCTTAGCGCCTCCGAGCTTTGAGCCGTCCATGCTTCTTCTTTTCGGTGTTTAGCTCGAAGTAAGGGGCGACGACTTCGAAGGCTCCGAGTTCGGCCTAACTCTACCTGTACTGGAACTCGCCGCGTCGGAATGGCGAAACAATCAGGAGGCCAATTTGCACTCCACAACAGCAGCTTCAGGTTATGAAAAGAGTCATACCGTCCAGCAGCTGATGAGGAACTGGACATGGTCAGTCTGAATCTCGTCACGCATGTGGCTGTCGAATTCCATCCACCCCTTGCTTGCGCCATGTTCAACTCATCCATCCTCAACCTTTGAAACCACGCGTGAACCTGCCCATGCGCTTCAGTTCCTTCAGCCAGCCAAGTTCAGTTCCTAGGAGAGTTACAGTAATGTCCAGTTGGGGTGGGGGGTTATGCCAGCCACATTGCAGAGAACTTACGAAAACACGTAAAATCTGTGGCGGAAGGGCGTGAGGAAAGGGGGAGGGTGAGGGGGAGAGGCGAACACACTTCTAAAGAATGTTGGGTAGGAGTGGGAGATACTAAGTTTTGGGGGATTTTGTTTTTGAAATGATGTTCAGTTCAAGACGGAAATGTAAACAATCCGAGGAAGAGGGCTTGCTCCCTCTTGACATTCCCGACAGGCGCCTCCATTTTTTCATTGAACTTCCCCAGGGGCTCATAGGCGATTCGCAAACGAGAACCCAGAAGCTGGCGGCACCGCACAACACAGGTCCTTCCCTCCCTCCCTACAGCTTCTCCACTGCAATCTGCTTCTGCACTGCACCTCCTCCAACCAAGGCGCGTGGGGTGGGGAGGAGGGGAGATGCGGTACTCGGGCAGGTAGGAACCTTTGCGCCAAATAGAGTCAATTGTACTGTGTAGCTGTCCGGGCTCCCTCGGCGCAAAGAAGATGCTGCGGAGAAGCGGTTACATCTTCCAGTTTGCGAAAGGGTAAGTGGCTCCACGAGGTTTGACGATTCCGCAGGTAGACGCCGTTTTGCGGCAAAAGGGCTGTCGGATAATCTTCCCTGAAATCCCGCTTCGGTGTGAACCAGACGTCTCACACCGCAAATCCCATCCAAGTTCTGAGGCTGAGATGCACGGTCGAAAGTCCAAGACGGTCACGACCAGGGATCCGGCATGTAGGTGGTGAACACGATTGGTGCAGCCCTACTGCTGGATGGACCAAAAGAAATCATTGATCCCATGTAATATCCAAGATCACACAGTACGCTGGCATAAAGGGGATTTCCATCCCAAACATGAGGCTTGTCAAAACGGAACACCACTAATCAACACGTTACATTTACATTCCTACTCTTAAGCTAGCACAACACATTAGGGCCCGTGCTAGGATTTGGGGCACCCTGAGGCCTCAGGGCACCTTTCTAAAATCTGAAAAAATGCCCTGATTTGTCAGGGCAAAATTTCAAAGCATTCCTGTATGTTCCTGGTCAGGGCAAAAACACGTGTTCAGGGTTCAGATTTCAGCACAGACCAGACCAGACTCTGCTGAGCTGGGAAGAGCATAGCAGAGCAGAGAACGGCACATATAGTTGGAGTTTTACTACTTAATTAACTCCTACACCTCCTCTTAGCCCTCCTCCTCATCATCATCATCATCGCTGCTGCTACTAAACCCACTGTCGTCGCTGCTGCTGCTGCTGCCATGTTCAGTATCTGCTTCTTGTCCGTCCTCCAACACGTTCCCCTTCCCCGCCGCACTCACTTGCCTGTGCCTCTGATTCTCCCTTCTCCTAATATGCCTCCTCTTCTTGCTGTTGCGCCACAAATCCACAACTTTACCCCATTCCATGTCATACTTAACCAGGCTCAAGCACATCAGGTCACTGAGCCTGGCATCACAGAGGTTGGTCCTCTGCCAGGAATTAATCACGTTATGGCGGCTAAAGCCGCGCTCACACTCGACGGTGCTGAGCGGCAGGACAGCCACCGCTGTCCAGAGGCGGACGAGGTTGGGGTACCGCCAAGCCGCGTTGAAATGTGCGCTCGCCTCGAGGACTGCCAGCCAAGACAGGGACGAATGTTCTCAGTTCCCTCTTGGCAGCACGCTTGTCCACACCTGCCACGCATTACACACAGAACAGGGACAAAAGAAGGCGGATTCTGGTTATACACAGTGCAGGGACAGAACAAGGCAGATTCTGGTTATACACAGAGCAGGGACAGAAGAAGGCAGATTCTGGACAAAGGCAAAATGGGTAAGGCGATCTAGATGTGCTTACCCGGGAGAATGTCTGCTCGCTCGCGGGCATGGAACAAGTCGACGAGAGTCTCGAAGTGCTCGAGGCACTCCTCGGCGCGTCCCTCCTTGTCCTCAGGGTACGTGTCTGGCATAAAAAGCCTGTCACCGTTCAGGCTTTCGAGACCCCCCAGCCTCGTCTAGAGGTGGCTGAGCGTCGACTTGGCGTGGCGGCGGCAGACGTGGAGGCACGACTGCAAGTCATCCGGGGTCTTGCTGTAGCCCGTCAATGCCTCCTCGTGCAGCTCGAAGCTATGTTTTCGCAGCCGCCCCTCCTTGTGTGAAAGTTTAAGAGAAGAAGGAGGGTTGCACTAGCAAGAATGAGGATACAAATAGCAAACCCTAGAAGGGTTGTACTCGCTATAGAGCACCCCACTACAGGCTAGAGCATAATATTCTGACACACCCCCATAGCCAAAGTGGGGTGTAATCAGCAGAGCAAGCACAGCAGTACAAGCTCAGGGTGGATCACAATGTCACCACACATTCTGAGCACAAGTTCAAGAAGCAATAGTTTAAAGTTCACAATTATGAGCAAAGCTAGAGGCTATCGCAGAGGGCAAGTGAGGAGGAGGAGAGACTGTGGGGGAGAGAAGATGGGAGGCGACTGCTGACGTTGCAGACACACAGACGAGCTGCTGGCTCAGTGGCTACCGGAACAACGCTCCGGACTACTGGGGTAACTGGCCCCGCGGCTAAAAGTAGCGGCAGACGAGCAACGGACCCACGGGCGACTGGCGACTACCGGAGATTGTAGCCTCCGGACTGCTGCTGCTGCTGACGACAAGACTGCTGCCTCCACTCGACCTCCCCCAAACAGTTTCACCCCTCCTGACACACACCCGCTGCTACACCGCTAGCTCCACTCCCCCTTCACCCCCCCTTAGCACCACTCCAACGGCTCCAACAAGTCCACCCCCCCTCAGCGGCAGCTGCAGCACAGGGAGACGGAGGAGGAGGAGGAGCAGGGAACGGCACACAGTAGTTTCACCCCCATACCCCTCACCCCCAAACCCTAATTCAGGAGAACGGGCTGTAGGAGGGGTGGGGCGCCAGCAGAAGCACGGGGGACAGCGGGGAGGGCAGGGGCAGCAAGGAAAGGGCCGCCCACGGGCCTGGCACAGCCTCCCGAACCGCGCGCAGGCGGCCCGAGCCGCGCGCGGGCCTGGCGCAGCCCGTACGGGCCGCGCGCGGGCCTGGCGCAGCCCGTACGGGCCGCGCGCGGGTCTGGCGCAGCCCGTACGGGCCGCGCGCGGGTCTGGCGCAGCCCGTACGGGCCGCGCGCAGGCCTGGCGCAGCCCGTACGGGCCGCGCGCCGGCTGTACGGGCCGCGCGCAGGCCACGACGGGCGACGGGGGGCGACGCGCGGGTCCCCGTCGCCCGTCGCAGCGCCTCCCGAGGGCGACGCGGCGAGTGACGGGGTAGAAGCCCGCCGCGCGCCTCGGGGCGCACAGCGGGCAGAGAACCGCCGCGCGCCACGGGGCGCACGGCGGGCAGAAAACCGCCGCGCGCCTCGGGGCGCACGGCGGGAAGAAAAACTGCCGCACGCCACGGGGCGTGCGGCACAGAAGGTAGTAGTGGAAGTTGCAGCGGAAGCAACGAGGTGGTGAGCCCACCCACAGGGTCGATCCAAGGGGATCGACCTGCTCTGATAGCATGTGAAATTTTAAGAGAAGAAGGAGGGTTGCACTAGCAAGAATGAGGATACAAATAGCAAACCCTAGAAGGGTTGTACTCGCTATAGAGCACCCCACTACAGGCTAGAGCATAATATTCTGACACCTTGTCCACACCATCCACCGTGATTTTTTCGGGACTTACTGAGCCTGGCTAGGAAGGCCCCGAGATGTTGCTGTGAGCCGCCACCGAAGTCATCGCCGCACTCGATGTAGCGCGTACGGATGGTGATCAAGGTGCGGCACACGGTCGACTGCACCGATGTCATGTCGACCTACCACATGACAAGGTACAGTTTCAACAAGGACCGTACAACTATGCTAAGGGTCTCGGGCTTACAAAGGCTACGTGCCTCCCGCTTCTGAAACTCCATGTTGAGGTTGTTGAGGACGATGAGCATGTCGGCGAGGTAATACAGATACACATTGAACTTCACTGAGGTCACAATGTGGTAAAAGTCATCGTCCCACTCCCACAGGAGCACGATGATGGCAGGGAGCATACGCACCAAGCGCGTGATGGCATCCCCACGGCTCAGCCAACGAACTCCGTGAATTCTCTGCAGTTCAAGGTTTTGTCAAAGGTCCAATCGAGATTCCCGATCGATCATAGGGAAGGGTTATAGGCACGTTGGCCTGGGGGGTTATGGGCGCACTCACCCGCTACACAAACTAAGTCCTTTTATCCCAGTGGTCTAGTGGCTGGGATTCTGACAGGTTTGTCTGGCAGAACACCTCCTGCAGCTCTTTGAACTCATTGTGAGAGGGATGCGACCTTCCCAGGTATTCCGCGAGTTCCTTCAACATGGTGTCGATTAGGCCCAGCTCAGGGACTGCAGTGGCGGCGTCCTTGGCTGCCAGCGCCTCTCTGCACGACATGATGTGGGTACTAGAGAAGGGTCGGTAACGGGGAGAGAAGGGGAGGTGGGTTTGAGGAGGGAGGAGTTGCCTCGACTATTTCTACGGGCTGTTGCTGTCTGCCCACGAGGAGACTATGGAGCAGAGCACCGTCACGTCTGGAGCGGGGAGGGGGGCGGGGGGTGGGTTGGGGGGAAAGGAGGGGGGGAACAAAAAGGGTGGGGAATGGCATGAGCTTGTGATTATGTGAGCACCTTCCGACCTTGCTGTTTCTATGCAACGTGATGGGCATTCAGATGCAACACACACATACAATGAGTATTACTCACCGATGTGCAATGCAATGGCTGGAGAAGAGGTGCGGGACCCGTACACGCAGCCGAGCCACCAACCCGTTTTTGCTACCCATCATCGCACCTGCGCCATCCGTGCTAGTCCCGGCCACCCTGCTCATGTCGATACCAAGTGATTCAAGGAGTGTCAGCAACAGGGAAAGCAATGAAGCGCCATCGTATTTCTCCACTGTCAGTAGCCCGATGAACTCCGTGACTATACGAGAGTCACGGAGAAACGTGGCAAACACGATCTGGTGTTTTCCACGCACACAATCCATACTCTCGTCACAGGTTAGTCCGAGAAATGGACTGGACTGCAACCAGACGTCCTGACAAGCATGAAGATATGATGCAGTGCTTGCGATGAGCTCGGCAAACCCATATCTGCATCCAACGAAAGAAGGTACTGTGGGTTAGCAACGGTGTGAAAGTTGTGAGCAATCCACAAACTAAGGTTCTCGAGTATAGCAGCTATTGTTGATCAACGGCTCACCTGGTGTAATAAGCACCATAGCCATTCTTGGGGAAGCCTAGTGTCTGTCGCTCTGCAAGGTGCCGAACTAATTGAACCCACATCTCAATCGGTGCGTCACATTTGCAGATGAAAAGCAGGGTTTGCAACAGCGCGATGACTCCGGATGTCTCCAGCCTTTGGGCAGTCGATGATGCGCTGCTGCTTCTCAGCCGCCTGCTCCGCCAGGGCCTGTCTCTTGACGGACCGTTTGCGCTTCCTGGACCTTTGATGCGTGCGGAACGCCTGGGTTTGGACGTCGACGTCACCTTCACCAGCAGCGCCGTAGTTTGTGCCGTGTCCTGCGTGCACGATACACAAACTGCACCTCACCGATGGGAAACCGAAGGAGGTTTGACAAAGCACGAGCCACGGGAAATCAGTTGACCATTCCCGTTTGTACTTCATAAGCGCCTCCTGGTATTTTTCTTCTGCCTCATCGGACAGTTCCTCAATAGACGAAGATGTTGCAGGAATGGCCGATGGTCCTGGTACTACTGGCTCTATGCGGATACGTATGGTAGGTTCCGTAGGACTATCTCGAGAGAAAGACAAGCACGACTGCTTGTGCTTGGTCGCTTTTAACTTAGCACTAGCGGCAGGGCCGATCCGTGTTGCACCCGGTCTTAAAACATTTGTGCGGATCGTGCTAGCACGGGGTGGTATTACTGCTTGAGTTGGAGATGAACCAGCAGTGGGTGAAACTATCGGTAAGGTGGGAACGGTTTGGGCAGGACGCAAGAAATCTAATCCTGTCAAACCCTGTGGTCGATTTGTTACGACCGGGTTTGCCGATGATACTGGCGCCGCGACATTGTCCTCGTTGGCCATTACTAGTGCGAGTAAGCAAGCTGAGCTTCACTCGTGTTGCTACTCTAACAGCAACACCGGAAGGGTGTTCCAGGAGGCTCAACATCAGAGAGATGCACACCTAGTGCGTGCACGCATGGCACGCGACGAGATGGGAGTGTTCCCTGTTTTCCCCATCTGATGCGTTTGGTTGGTGCGCTACGCAGGGTCGGAAGTGACATCCTGAGAGCTCAGGGTTAAAAGTGACACTACATGAAGTTACAGGGCAAATCCAAATCTGCATCCTGAATTCAGGGTATTCAGGATGTTTTGCCCTGATATCATGGGGCCTGCAACACATCATGCCACCAACCTACTCTCCAGTTTCATACATGTGTCCCTGTGCCAGGTCACAAAGATCCTGGCAGACGATGCACTTTTCCCCTGTTATTTATCTCCTTCAGCAAAGCTTTCACAGGGGTTTATTTCTTTAAAATGTGAATTGCAGTGCTCTTCACAAAACAGAACTTGCTACTAGAGAAGCAAACAGCATCTCATTCCACGTGTCAGGCACTCCAGGTAAACACCAGTGGCTGCATCAAAACAAGCACAAGTTATTCTTCACGACCCTAGAGGAGTTTGAACGAAAATGGAATGCGAGGCAAACCAGAAATGTGGTTGGCAAAAGGACATATGGTAGCACTGACTCACCTGCAGTCCGAGCCAGTCGCTCCAGTCCAATAACGTGCAATGTGCGCATCACTTCTCGAATATGACATTCTCGTAATATCATTTATAATTGGTTTTCTGGCTTGCTCCGGCCGCTTCATTGCCTCTCGACTTAATCGAGAAAATAACTCGGAAGGATCTTGCGAGGTATCATTTGGGATTGAGTGGTCAACAGAGAGTGTGGGATGAGTTTCCGAGCAGCCACCACTGTGATCCCAACTGCCACCCCTGCAGTACATATAGTAGGCACGACAAGGAGAAGGCGGTAATTTTGATGAGACAGGAGCTTTCAGGAATGTCATGACTCACGTGCTTGAGTTAGGAGCACTGGTTAACAGATGTGGGAAGTGGGATGCAGGAGACAGTTTAAATGGTCAACAGGTAAACTGGGATAAAGAGAGCATGAAGTTTGTTTCTGGGCTATCATCCCTGCCATCCGAACTACCACACCCTGCCATCCGAACTACCACACCCTGCCATCCGAACTACCACACCCTGCCATCCGAACTACCACACCCTGCCATCCGAACTACCACACCCTGCCATCCGAACTACCACACCCTGCCATCCGAACTACCACACCCTGCCATCCGAACTACCACACCCTGCCATCCGAACTACCACACCCTGCCATCCGAACTACCACACCCTGCCATCCGAACTACCACACCCTGCCATCCGAACTACCACACCCTGCCATACCAGCTATCATTCCAGCAAGCAGCACCAGCAAACAGACAATAGAGGACGACGGACTAAGGAGCAAGGAAAATGTCAAGAGAATCAAATAGCGATCAGGACGAATTCAGTCTTACACGAAGTGGGTGGGTGCATAGTGCGGAAGACAGCTGCCGCGTTGGGAGCCTGATGCAGCCACTGCTGAACCAGCCTCCCACCCACAGCATGGACGAACAGCAGAATGAGGTTGTGTGAGATGGAGGAGCAAGCCTAAACAGATGGGCGGCCCCCAGTCTTACGCGAATTGTGCAGGTGCGTAGGTGCGGACGACAGCGGTCGCATTGGCAGCCTGGAGTGGCCACTGTTGGGACAAGCAGAGTGTGGGTGTGTGTGTGACACAGAGGGGTCCTATGCACAGCTAGGCCGCCCCAGTCTTACGCGAAGTGGGCGGGTGCATAGGTGCGGAAGACAGCTGTGGCGTTGGCAGCCTGTGGGGGCCACTCCTGAAGCCAGTCTGACACGCGCAGCATGGCCAGGCGGAACCCCTCGGTCTCATCGATGTCTGGGCGAGTCTGGTTGTTCACCAGGAATGAAACATTCCTGCACGGGGATAGAGTGAGCGCAAAAATCCATTTTTAGTTTCGCACTGCTATCATGCTCACACTCCATTTGAGACGTCGAAGGCGTTCCCCCCTCCCACCCCATCACCCCGTCCCACTGAACCCTGAACCAAGGTCAACCTCAAAGCGAAACACGTAATTCACCAAGAACGAAACGCTTCCGCACAACTTCGGAAAGCCAAATCGGTATATCCGCACATCTCCCCAAATGCAACAACCCGCTCGTTCTGCAGTTAAGAGAAAGCAGGGAGTCTTGAGGATTCATTACTACTCTATCCCGAACAACTGACTCACTGACGCGATATCTTAGATGGGGTGAACCAGTGGCCTGCATTGAGCACGAGTATCATCCCCTCTGGCCGATTGTCAAAGAGCCTCCGAGCAAAGAGAGGGTCAACCGTGTCTGTGTTGACCACTGCTCCAATCTGCAGACAAGAACCAGGTGAACCAGGAGTATATGAAGAGGACTGAAATGAAGTGATGGGAGTGAGTGCGCGAGACACTGACGCGTGATTATTGCGGTGGAGAGCAAACCACGCTCATGCACATACACATGTGGTGGAGCATCGGAGAAAGCATTGTGCAAACCCACGAGGAAGTGCGAGATGTGGTACTCCACAGTGAAGTCATAGAGCATCGTGCCCTCCTTGCTGGTCAGATTGTGTATGACTTCACCCAGCAGAATCCCAAGGTGCCTGAAAGACTGCTTTGTGACTCACTCACATGGGGCGGCGCATCAGGAGGGGCCCTGTGGAAGCCCACGAGGAAGTGCGAGAGGTGGTACTCGACAGTGAAGTTGAACTCCGTGAAATCATACACCATAGTATCCACCTTCCTGGTCAGATTGTTGCCCTTGCGCTGCCGTGCAGTGGGGTGGAGTGCAAGAGAATGGAATCGATTTAGCTTAGCTGAGAAGCCATGAAAAAGAGCAGGCTTCAAGTGAGTGTCAAGTGAGCAGGCTTCAAGAGTGAGCTGTAACCATAGGGCACAATATGACTTCACTATGGAGGAACATCAGCAGCAGCACCTCGACAACAGCAGAGACATCGGGAAGATCAACGCCGAGGAGGCACAGAGCGCTCTCAAACTGGTTGCGGCACAACGAGTCTCCCACAAACACCAGCCGGCGCCCGTTGAGTCGCCTTCGGATGTCCAATGCATTGAACCTGCACATAAAACGCGAAGACCATCCGAGAAGCCGGATTCGTTGAACCTGGACATGAAAAAAGGTCATGATATGGAAAAGAGCGAGAAAGACGAAAATCCACCGGAAGCACGGACAGAGAGGTCTGAGAAAGAAACCCTGCATTGCAACTCACTTTGGTAGATTGCAACCATGCGGTTGCCATCTGAATTTCATATAATCCGTGTCATGCCGACCCAGGGCTTCACATTCAAACCCGGTCTCGACCCATGGACAGGAACCTGTCTTCCACAACGGATACATTTCCGGTTCGTACACCCACTTCCCCTCCCACAGATCGCACGCTGCGTCCATTTCCGGCCTCCTAGCGGCCACCTCGGGATCATCGAGAAAGCCGTCAGGCGTCCATTGCTCCGGCGTGGGTGGGAGCGTGGAGCATTGGTTGAAGACTGAAGCGACGAGGGAGGTGAGACTTGGGAAGTTGCAGGAGGGGGAGGTGGGAAAACCGGTGTGGTTCGCTTGGAGGTGGAAGAGGGAGAGGAGGAGGCAGAGGAAGATGGATACGGCGAGGCAGAACGGGCCTACTAAGATGGTGAGGTAGAAGGTAGACGCTTGGACGGATACTGAGTGCTTCCATGAGGTTTCCATAAAGGTTCCGAGCTTGAGGACGTACGGAATGGCGTTTGGCCATGCTGTGTCCTTGGATGCGTCCTCTCCGCTCTCTGGCATGGTTAAATATCGGTATTATGAAGAGAAACAAGTAAGCAAGCGTGAATCCCCCTTATGCCTCAGCGTTTCTCGAAGAACAGCAGGAAGTACCACCCAGTAGAAGACGCACGCTCTGTCTATACGGCTCTGTGGTTTCTAACTCTGCAAAAGATAATTGCGAGGCAACGCTAGCGTAAAATACAGTCTGCGCATCAAAGACATTCAATGAATCGTATCATCAATGCGATGCTTCTTGGTCAGTGATCTCCAGTTCTCCGCCAGTCAGCGTCGAAGTCATTGTCATAAGTCTCAGCAAAACTAGAGCAGGGAAGGTGTCATAAGTCAAAACAGAGTTGATTGAGCTTTGAAAGGTGCAAGTTTGTCAGATCTTCAAATTGTGTGGTCAAGTACGGTTTCGGTATTCCGCAGCGTGGTATTGGAGAGATCATTGAACGGTACACTACAACTACACTTCCTCGCTTAAATGTTTCGCAGCTCGACGCCCAGAATATATCGAAGACGCTCGTGAGGGACCAGGTAAATGCTGATTCGTGTTCCAACTGCGAACTGAGATGTGGTTACCACTCGTCGCGCTGTCAGAACGCTGGCGAAGCCTGTGCTAAAAGCAGCACCAATTACAGATCTACTCTCCAACGAATGCATGAGTTATTTTACCCAGACCAACCCACATGAAACCATCCCAAACTGATCCAACCGCCGATGTCACCAACTCAACCTCGATGTTGCAGTTGGAAAACCGCCTTCTTTCACATCTCTCTGATAGCATCCTCATCTCGGATCTGCCTGCCTTCCAGGTAGTTGACAAATCTCACTCCATCCGGTATTTTCGCCTAGCCCGATTGATCCAGATCCATCGTTTCTGTTAGTACGTTCCGTTCAGCCTACTACTATTTTTAGTCGATTCTCCATTAGACACCATGGCTAAGGGTTCAGTCAGCCAGGCGTCCACATCCGTTGCACGCGGCGGAAGTGGTGCTGTGAGTAGAGGAGCGGCTGCTGGAGGAGCACCCAAGGGAGTAGGATCAGCAGGTCTCCGCAGGAGACGGCCAACAGCGGCAGCAACTTCAAGCGCTGCGAATAACATGCTGCGATTTTACACGGACGACGCTCCAGGCCTTAAGATCACTCCGACCGTCGTTCTTGTAATGAGCCTCTGCTTCATTGGATTCGTCACCGCCTTGCACGTTGTGGGAAAGCTCTACGGTTACTCCTCCGCCAAGTAATATGTTTGGATAAGACACTTTTTGTCTCGTAGATGTCTAATTCTAGCTAGGCTCGGGGTTCTTTTTGGCTGTTTTGATCCGATTCGTGTATTTCAATTTGGTATGGAGAAGCAGTGTCACTTGCAACCATTGAAGCTCCATACACCAATTTCGGGGCTTGTGGACGGCAGGCGTAGCTTATGGTCATTGTTCAGGCTTGTACATGGTGGCAAGTATCTGTCATGGGCTTCAGAAATTCGTTTGAACATCTCGCGTCCTGATTTGTGCTGGTGCCTTGGGGGTGAATGCAGAAGCACAATTCTAAGTTTTTTATCGAAGTTGATTCTGTTGCTGAAAATCGTGGACATGCGGCAGATGCCAAAAAATGTTTGATCTGTGTGGTTCTGTGGTGGGGCTGCTGCTGATACTTGGGAAGGCAATGTTCTTGCATTGCTACTGTATTTGGCTATTGCTGCCACCAGAAGGTTCTTGTCTGCCATTGTGACTGCTCAAGCCACTGGGCTGTAGTAAACCCTAATTACTGCTAGGTGCCATGGATGGAATGTACGGTAGAGTAGATATAGAACATGACGTGCTGCCAGGGCCTCAGATTGGTTTTTGTGTACCCTGAGCACTCAGTGTCCCTAGGAGGGTAACACTGATTTTCAGTGTCGTCTAGTGTGAAACACTGAATTTACAGGGTTGTTAGAAATAAAACGCTGATCAATCAGGGTTTCTACAACTTCAACACTGATCAGCATAGTTGCTTTACTGGTATGCTGTCATAACACAGCGAATCAGACTGCCCTCACTTTACAATTCCCAAATTCGGCCAGGATTCTGCTATTTCCGTGTCTGATTGGTCAGAAATCTTGTCTGACCAATCGAATAGGACAATTGTTAAGAATTGTTTCTGATCTCTGGTTGTGTACTTGACTGATGATTCGGACTTGGTTCGTCACAGCAGATTCGCCCTGACGGCAAATTCGACCTCGCACAGTCGTTACGCGCTGTCGCAGCACAGCAAATTCGCCCAATCACAGCAGATTTGCCCTGACACAGCAGCAGATTCGCCCCTCACACAAGAGATTCGCCCTGTCAGAGCATGTTTCGCCAGAAATCCCCTTGGTGCACGGTGCACAGTGACGGCGCGCCAAAACAAGGAGTTTTCGGTTTCAGGGTAGACCCCGATACAACACTGACTCGTCAGTGTCCTCAAACACAAAACACTGGAAAATCAGAGTTCGAAATTTAAAAACACTGAAACATCAGGGTCGTTGAAAAAAAATGGCTGATGCATCAGGGTCATGATAAAAAACGGGGGTCAAACTTCAGGAATTCAGGGTAAAATTCCTGACATCTGAGGCCCTGCGTGCTGCTGTTCTAGATGGAACTCTCATTGAAAGGCTGTGGGGGGCATTGTAGCTGCCACCCTGGCAATACAGTTCCGCCGGAGAGGGGTGTCTGAGAATATGGCTCGAATGGTTCGTTGCACCTGGACAGAATGAAATAGAATGGCATTGTTGGAGGGGGTAGTGAAGGAGCAAAATGGAATGTGAGCTGATTGTCAAACCAGTGTCACAAAACAAACAGGAACTAGTTTCAAGGCAAACTGGGAGAAGAGTGGAGATCAGAAGAATTATGCGGACGAAGGAACATACCATAGCAATGGAAGGAAGCACAGGTAAACACCGTGATAAGAGTTCTGAAGTTACCTCGTCAGAGGTGAAACCACAGTGGCACAGGTCCCCACTCTCCCATGCCTGTGTGATTGCCACTAGTGGCATGTCAAGCAAATCTGGAGGGGTGGGACAGTGTAGAGATGAGAAACAGACAAGGGCAGACACTCTGGTTATATTGCTGAAAAGTGATGTATATCAATGGAAACAAGGAATGAATGAAAAAAAAAACCCATCAGTTGCTCATATAGCAACCAGGGATTTATTTTTCCTTCATATATGAACCCACGAAGAAAAGACAATAAATACCTGTTAGTCTTTTTAACTTGCGATACACAGGAACAAGAGACTCGAGTGTTGCTGTGTCAGCAACGGCATCTGACACGTCAGCATCCAGGTCAGCAGCTGCAGCTACAGATGCTGACGTGGCGCCATGGGCGCTGCCAATGGCTCCTGAGAGGTCCACGTGGAATAGAGGCGGCAAACGAGTCAGCATCCCTGCAAAGAGCTTGCGAAGCTGACAGGGGAGGAAAGAGGGGGAAGAGGAGCGGAGGAAGGGGAGGGGGACGAAAGGGGGAAGAGGGGGGGGAGAAAGAGTAGGAGTGAGAAGGGTAGGGGGGCGCACAGAATGGGAAGAATGCGACGAAAAATACAAGCCAGCATTCACGCAGCCAGCAGACACCTGCCCCAGCACTCACCTACCCCACACCCACCTGCTCAGTCTCATCAACGGATATGTCTGGCAGGCCGAGCACATGCGCACAGCAGCGGGAGAGCACAGCCGAGACAAGACGACTCATGGATCGGAGGTAGCGGGAGGGGGGTGAGACTGGGCGCCACACAGATGAGAGGTGGGCGAGGTGATGCACCACCTGGGTGGGGGGAGAGGGAGACGGGGGATTGATATGAGATGTGGAAGGAGGTAGCGCAAGGGCAGTGAGACTGGCCGCCAGACAGAGGAGAGGTGGGCGAGGTGGTGTACCACCTGGGTGGGAATGGACGCAGCATAGACAAGAAGAAGGGAACCATAGGATGTGTGGAAAGAGGTAGCGGGAGGATGGAGAGACTGGCAGCCACACAGAGGAAAGGTGGGCGAGATGACCTCAAGGCACATCGGTATTCCTCCTCCTCCTCCTCCTCCTCCTCCTCCTCCTCCTCCTCCTCCTCCTCCTCCTCCTCCTCCTCCTCCTCCTCCTCCTCCTCTTCCTCCTCCTCCTACTCCTCCTCCTCCTCCTCCTCCTCCTCCTCCTCCTCCTCCTCCTCCTCCTCCTCCTCCTCCTCCTCCTCCTCCTCCTCCTCCTCCTCCTCCTCCTCCTCCTCCATGATTCCTAAACCCCTGTGCCTTATCCAACGCCTCCATCAGGTACCTGTGCTGCTGCTCCAACACTCCCATGCAGCACTTTTATGCAGCAATAGCACGCATACCATACCAGCAAGTGCATCTGCTTGAGAAATCGCAAGTCGCAGAAATAAACTTCCTATTCGTCTGTGCTCCTGAACCCCTGCGCCCCATTCAGTGCCTCCATGAGGCACCCGTGATGCCGTGGATGCAGCAAACCATGGGTGTATCGCTCTGCACCGCATCCAACCGGCCGGCGTACCTGCTTGAGAGCCCGCGGTGCAGAGCGATAAACCTCCTCCTCATCTGTGTTCCTGAACCCCTGCGCCCCATCCAATGCCTCCATCAGATACCCGTGCCGCCGCATCTGCATCCTGCTACGAGCTGCATCTGCTACGAGCTGCATCTGCTACGAGCATACCTGCTTGACAGTACCTGTGGTTCCAAGGATGCAGCCTGCGAATATGCACTCACGAACCTGTTTCAGAGCACGCAATGCGCAGCGATACACCTCCTCTTCATCCGTGTTCCTAAACCCCTGCGCCCCATCCAATGCCTCCATGAGATACCCGTGATGCCGCTCCAGCACGCGCTGCATCTGCTCCTCTGCCAGCTGGCGCAGGAACGGCGACACATCAGCAAAGGTCGCCACGTGGCGCACGCCAGCTGGCAGGCGCGCGCGGTACTGCAGCGCGAGGGAGAGGCAGACGTGGCTGAGCAGCAGGCGGTCGTTGACTGCTATCATTGCCAGCTGTGCCACGTCCACAGGCTGCGGGATGCGTGAAAATGGGGGAGCAAGCAGAGAGGGAGGGGGGAGGGAGGGAGGGACGGAGGGAGGGAGGGAGGGATCAGTGATGATCTGAGTAATAGGAGAGGCAGCCTCGCCTCAGCAGCAGGCGGTCGTTGACTGCTATCACTGCCAGCTGTGCCACGTCAACAGGCTGCTTGGGTGGGATGGGTGGAAAAGGGAGAGGCAGACAGACGTGGCTCAGCTGAGCAGCAGGCGGTCCTTGACTGCTACCATTGCTAATCGCGCCACGTCCACTGGCTGCGGGATGGTTGAAATTGGGGGAGCAAGCAGAGAGAGAGGAAGGGGATAGTGAACATTTGAGAAGTAGGTATTATGAGAGGCAGGCACACGTGGCTCAGCTCAGCAGCAGGCGGTCCTTGACTGCTACCATGGCCAGCTGTGCCGCATCAACAGGCTTCTTGGGAGGACGGGCGGGAGTGGGGGAACACAGGGGAAGGAGGGAGGGGAGGAAGGCGAGGCAGGGAAGGTTCAAATCATAGGAGAGGCACACGTGGGTCAGCAGCAGGCGGTCCTTGACTGCTATCATTGCCAGCTGTGCCACATCAACAGGCTGCTTGGGTGGGATGGGTGGAAATTTGGGAAGAAAGGGAGAGGGATGAAGCGAGCTGTGATCAAGCAATAGAAGAGGCCAAAGTGGCCCATCAGCAGGCTCAGCAGCAGGCGGTCCTTGACTGCTATCATTGCCAGTTGCGCCACGTCCACTGGCTGCTTGCGCGGACCAGGGCGCGAGCGTGGACCGAGGCGCGCGCGTGGACCGAGGCACGCGCGTGGACCAAGGCGCGCGCGTGGGCCAAACGGGAGATGGAGGAGGGAGGAGTGGCGATGACTCGAGCCATTGCAGGGCGCCTTGGAGAGGCAGTCATACAGGGGTACAGTGGTACAGAACGGTACAAAGTGGTACAGAGCGGTACAAAGTGGTACAGACAGAGGAGTACAAAGTGGTACAGAGGAGTACAAAGTGGTACAGAGGAGTGCAAAGTGGTACAGAGCGGTATATAAGACTCACAGCAGAGGATGGCAGAGCACGATAGAGGGTGAAGATGTCTCGTGCTGCCCGATAGAGTTCCATGGCCGTACGATCCGTAGACTGGGAAGCTTCCTGGAAGGCAGATGGAATACGGAAAGCAGCAATGCAAATAAGGAATAAATCAAGGTCAGACCATGCGGCTTGGGCTTGCCAGTTCACGTCTGTCGAGCAAACGAGCATTGGACATGCATCAGACGAAATGGTATGAAGCATATTACGAGACGTCTCAAACTTTGCAGAACTCAAACGGAAAAAAGCAAGCTCCCAGACGAGCATATTATACCTCCATGGTGTTGTGAACGATTTCGATGATCTTGCACACGGGCTCGCTGACGTGGCATGGCTCCCAGAAGAACACCGAGTTGTCCTGTAGAGAGGACGATGACGAGGCATGCGCATGAATTACGCAATAATCTATTTTGTGTTGGATAAGCAATGCCAACGCGACATTGCATGGACGAAGGCGATTAATTACTAAATTCTATGAGGAAAGAAAGAAAGAAAGATAGAAAGAAAGAAAGAAAGAAAGAAAGAAAGAAAGAAAGAAAGAAAGAAAGAAAGAAAGAAAGGAAGCAAGAAAGAAAGGAAGCAAGGAAGCAAGAAAGAAAGAAAGAAAGAAAGGAAGAAAGAAAGAAAGAAAGAAAGAAAGAAAGAAAGGAAGGAAGGAAGGAAGGAAGGAAGAAAGGAAGAAAGGAAGAAAGGAAGGAAGAAAGAAAGAAAGAAAGAAAGAAAGAAAGAAAGAAAGAAAGAAAGAAAGAAAGAAAGAAAGAAAGAAAGAAAGAAAGAAAGAAAGAAAGAAAGGAAGGAAGAAAGGAAGGAAGAAAGGAAGAAAGGAAGGAAGGAAGGAAGAAAGAAAGAAAGGAAGGAAGGAAGGAAGGAAGGAAGGAAGGAAGGAAGGAAGGAAGGAAGGAAGGAAGGAAGGAAGGAAGGAAGGAAGGAAGGAAGGAAGGAAGGAAGGAAGAAGAAGAAGAAGAAGAAGAAGAAGAAGAAGAAGAAGAAGAAGAAGAAGAAGAAGAAGGTTATTGTGACAGGTTAGGCTATCCTCACCATGTCAGACGTCGCTTCAGCAGCAGCAGTGCCAGGCTCCCCAACCACCAGCTGCAGCAGCTGTTGACCAAACACTGCTGGCTGTAGTGCTGGGTTGCTCACGTCTGGACTCACAGGAGTCACCTGCGGGTGACAGGGTAGGAATGTCGTGGGGGTGAAAGAGGTGGGGGCGTGGGGTGAAACTTGAAAGGGGTGAGCATGGGTGCAAATGGGTGGACATGTCAGAAGCTCTTTCAGCAGCCGCAGCGCCTGCCTCTCCCACTACCAGCTGCAGCAGCTGTTGAGCAAAGATTGCAGGCTGTAGCGCTGCGTTGCTCACGTTTGGACTCACAGGAGTGACCTGCGGATGACAGAGTAGGAATGCGATGGGGTGAAGGGTGCGAACGGGTGGGAATGGGTGCAAACGGGTTGGGCATGTCTCACGTCACAGCAGCATTTGTGCCTACTGAGGGTGAAATGGGGTGCAGTGTGCAGGTGGGCTTGGGGTGTGAATGGGTGGGTTTGATTGGGTGCCAAAGGGTGCGCGTGGGTGCGAAGAGTGGGCGTGGATGTGAAGGTGTGGCCGAGGGTGTGAAAGACCGGGCATGGGTGTGACTCTCACAACCAGCAGTGCAATCACAAACGCTTACCACCAGCCGTGAGACCGAAAAGTCTCCCTTCAGCAGCAGGTGCCTCACAGCCGCCAGAGCAGCCACTCGTTTCTTCTCTGCGAAATGCATGTCCACGTCGGCAGCATATGCCATCAGCCTGTCCCCCACTGGTGCTGCTGCTCTCTTCACTGTCCCCCCTGCCTGCAGTTTTACGCCCTTGAGTGCTGCAGAAGCTGGGTGGACAGCAAGAGAGGAGATGGAAGGAACGGGGGGTGCATGTGAGCAACAGCCGCCAGAGCAGTAAGAGCAGTCACTCGTTTCTTCTCTGCGAAATCCACGACTGCAGCATATGCCATTAGCCTGTCCCCCACCCCTGCTGCTGCTGCTCGCTTCAGTGCCCCTCCCCCTCCTGCTTGAAGCTTCACGTCCCTGAGTGCTGCAGAGGCTGGGTGGAGAAGAAAGAAAGAGGGGAGGTGGAAGGAATGGGGGGCACATGTCGGCAGCATTCGCCATCAGCAGCTGCTTTACCCTTGCTTGGGTTCATGCGTGCATATGTGTAACCATTGGCAGCAGCCTACCATAAACAGCAGCATACCTTTAGGCAGTGGCGCGAGACGCCTGAAAACCAAGGCAAGAGGGAGATACCTTTTGGGAGAGGGGCGAGAAACCCCTCCGCTCTGAGAGCTGCTTCGAACGCCCGAGTGACCTCCACCACCTCTTGGAACCGAGCCAGTTCCCTCGTTTCCTGGGGAACAGCCTGAGGGAGAGATGGGAAGAGAAAAGAAGAAAACAGAAACCTGTGCTTTGGAACGTTCACTGAACAACCGAGTGACCTTCACCACCTCCTGGAACCGAGCCAGCTCGTTTCCTGAAGCACAGCCTGAGGGGGGTATGCGATGGGAAAAAATGGAGAGGAGAAACTGTGTGCTGAGGCCATGTTACTGACTTCCTGCCTTCACCTTGTGAACGAACGCGAGCCTGAAGCAGAGCCGTGCCGACTCACTGAGAAAATGAACAGCTTACCAATGCCAGGCACCTCTCAATGATGCTGTCGGCCATTCGAGGTCAGAGGGCAGCAGCCAGGCGCTGCAACGAGTTGGCGTTTACCCTACCCCCACCCATGTGAGATGGCAACTGACTCACAAAAATTTAGCAACTTACCAATGCCAAACACCTTTCAATGATGCTGTCGGCCATTCGAGGCCAGAGGGCCGCTGCCAGACGCTGCAGTCGAATGCTGCTGCCACTACCACCGCCACCGCTGCTGCTGGTGAGATGGCGGCTGAGGAAGCGGATGAGGTCTAGAAGGAGCGGGTACAGATGGAATGGTGTCACTGCTGCTGCTGCTGCTCCTGCTGCCGCTCCTGCTGCTGCTGAAAAATCTGAAGGTGCTCCAGCTGATGGCTCATGTGTCGCTGATGCGGGTGCAGAGGTTTCGGATTGAACATGGATGAGAACAACAGCAGGGGGGGAGGCAGCGTCCCTTGGGGAAGCAGGGCTGGCATCAGCAGGTGGTGAGGCAATGAGGGAGGTGGAAGGGGAGGAGAGCAGAGGCAGCACGATGGCTGAATGGATGGACGCTGCTATTCGAGACCATAACGGCCCTGCTGCTACTGGCAGTGATCCTAATGATGATGCTGCTGCTGCTGTTGATGGTGGTGGTGCTGCTGCTGCAGGTGCTGGTGCTGCTGGTGCGGATGGTGGTGGAAGCACAGGCGACGTCAGTACTTCTAGGGCGGACAGCACATCTGACAGTAGCACAACAGGAGCAGAAGCAGTACTATCAGCACTGGTGATGGCAGGTGTGAGTGCAGCGGATGTGACTATACGGATGGAGTGGCTGGACGGGTCAATCACCAGCATCTGCCACAGCTGCTGCTCCAGGCTGTGCTGCAGCTGAAGGGGTGGAAAGTGGTGGAGAGGGGTAGAGAGGGGTGGAGAGGGGTGGAGAGGGGTGCAAGTGTGTGAATATATGGATGGAGTGGCTGGAAGGGTCGATCACCAGCTGCTGCTCCAAGCTGTGCTGCAGCTGAAGGGATGGAGAGGGGTAGATAGGGGTAGACAGGAGTGGGAAGGGAATAAGCCAGTTAAACAAACGAGCGACCAGGGACATTAAGCAATAAGGACCGGCCCAGGTCCAGACGACCCCCCACGCTCGTCAGGATTCTAAGAAATGGTTCCACATCTTAACGTAGCAATGAGCCACACGGACCTGCTTACAGCTGCCGTCCACTTGCTGCCGCAGCAGCGTCACCACCACAGGCTCCTCCCTTTGCTCTTCCTCTCTGCCCTTCCCCTCTGCCTCGCCGTCCCTAACGTCCCTTGGTCCCCCCACATCACCCTCCACGAAGGAGTCTTTGAAGGAGCGAGCCAGAGTCGCAGCTTCCAGGAGCCTTCCTCTCCCCAGCAGCACTTGCATCTCTGCCTGTTTCCTTTGGAGCTGAACTATCTCCTCCACTGCTTTCCGAATCTCTGCTTTCTCATTGGCTGCTTGATTCAACGCTCGCACCTCATTGGTCGCCCTTACCACCTCCTCCACGAACCCTAGTGCTGCTCCCGAGCCAGTTGCCGAAGCTTGTCCCGAGCCAAATTCATGATTCCCTCCTCCCTCCCTTCCGCTAGGACCGGATTCGGTAGCTTCTGCTGGTGAAACGCTGGCAGCCAGGGCATCCACCTCAGCTAGCAGAACCGCCACGTCATCGCCAGCCTGGCACGCATGCCACATCAGCTGCCGAAGCTCCTCGTGTCGGCCTTCCACCTCCTGTATGATCTCCGCCTTGATCTGCTCGGACCGCTCTTCAATCCGCGAGAGACACGACAGCAGGTCCGCGACGGACAGCTGTGCTGACAAGTCAGCTTCGAGAGAAGCTAATTCACGAGCCGCGGATTGTCCGGGAATACCGGCGTGAGAAGCGGCGCGAGAAGCGGCGAGAGATGCGGATTGTCCGTCAGGACCTGCTGCTGTTACAGCGCGACTGCTCGAAGCGCCTAGAACAAGATCCGCGAATGAGGATGCAGCATCGTGCAACGAACGGCTGGGATTGGACGATTGCGATGTTGACATATTGGAGAGGTTAGAGGCTGTTGCTGAATCAGCGGGAAAGCTGTTATTGGCTTGGTGCGATCGAGCTGAGACAGCAACAGCCATGGTGAAACGTCTAGTTTTGAGGCGCCTCAAAACTGGCAAAACGCTCGTTCTTTTAGAAACGAGTTTCAAACCGTCCAGAGCGGTGCGACGGACATGCAATTCCTAGATATTACCTTGTGGTTATCCTAAAAAGGATGCTGCTGAAAACAGACATTCTTGTCCTTGCTAGCTCGCCTCGCCACTGGTCATGCCTGACATCTCTGCGAAGGCGTGGATGATTCGTTATTGACATTTCTGGCCTCTCCACAAGAGTCACTACTGTGCAAGAAAAAAACATGAACGACACCGTAATCGCTCTCCTGGTTTTTGTTCTAATCTGGTACATTTTAAGCTTTCGTTTTAACTTGTGGGTGTTGCAGGCTCCACTGCTAGTTGGTTGTGACAACAACTCAGCAATTCATAACGCAGTATTCCCTCTCTGTTGCGATGCTGCTAATTGATTTATTTACTTGAAAGTAAACCTAGTCAGACACCCAGAGCTCCACAAAGCTGAGCAGAAAGCCGCGCACAACCCTTCTGAGAAAGGCATTGGGGATGTGGCGACACAGCCGGCCATCTACATATGCCACCACACTCGCCAACACCACATGACTAACCATCACCCAAACTCTCCCTTCCTTCTCCCCCCGTCCTCCCCCCTCCCCCTGCTCCCACATGCCCCCCTACACCCACAAAAACAACAAAGTTGCTCATAGATCAACGAAGCTGAGCAGGAAGCCGCTCACAACCCTTCTGAGAAAGGCATTGGGGATGTGGCGACAGAGCCTGCCATCCACATATGCCACCACACTCGCCACCACCACATGACTCACTGCCGCCCGCACCCTCCCCCCCCCCCTTCCTCCTCCCACCCTCTCCCTCGCTCCCCCACCAGCCCTCCCTTCCTCTTGCCCTTCTTCCCCTCTACCGTCTCCTGTAGCAGCGGCTGTAGCTGCCCCTTCGTCAGCCTGGGTGCCAGGTGGCGGCTTGACGTGCAGCCACCTGGCAGTCTGGTGTCGGAGCGTGCGGATGAGAAGAGTGACTGCGAGCTGCTCTAGCAGCGCCCTCACTGCCACCCGTGCGTTGTGGGGGCCCTGGGGTAGGGAGAAGAGGGGTAGGAATGGGGGAAAGGGGGATTGGTTGGGTAAGCATGGTAGCTGCTAACCTACCCAGTCTGGTGGCGTGTGAGAGAGAGTGCAGATGTGACGGGCTCCCAGCAGCCCCTCTGTGACTAGGAAGTCCTTTTGTGATGAGATTGTGACACTGGTCACCATCTCATAACACGTGAGCGCACGTATCCTCTCTCTCACCACCTCATCCCGCACACGGATCATGTTTTGAGTCGACTCAAAACACATCTCATCACACGTGAGCGCACGCACCCTCTCTCTCACCACCTCATCCCGCACACGGCTCATGTTTTGAGTCGACTCAAAACACATCTCATCACACGTGAGCGCACGCACCCTCTCTCTCACCACCTCATCCCACACATGGCTCACGTTTTGAGTCGACTCAAAACACGCCTCTCTCTCACCACCTCATCCCACACGGCTCACGTTTTGAGTCGACTCAAAACACGCCTCTCTCTCACCACCTCATCCCACACACGGCTCACCATCTGCTCCCCATGAATGCGCCGCAGTGATCGGAAAGCAGACACCTCCCCGGCCCCACCAGCAGCACCACAGATACCAGCACCAGCAGCAGCAGGCATCCCCATCCTCCCCCTCCCTCCCCTGCCTCCATCCCTGCCGCCTCCCCTCTCAGGCTCCAGCAGCCCTTCTGTGACCAGGAAGTCCGTGACACATGTCACCATCTCATTGGTCAGCGACGTGTTGGGGGGGAGGTTCTTCAGAACGACCTGGAGAGGAGGGATTGGAGGTGGAAGGGAATGGGAGCGGGAGGAGGAAGAAGCAGAAGGGACCATCTCGTTGGTGAGTGATGTGTTGGAGAACGACCTGGTAGGTTCTTGAGAACGACCTGTGAGGCGCCTCAAAAGACGACCTGGAGTGGAGGGATTGGAGGTGGAAGGGAATGGGAGCGGGAGGTAGAAGATTCAGAAAGGACCATTTCGTTGGTGCGAGTTGCCTTGAGGCGGAGGTTCTTGAGAACGACCTAGAGAGGAGTGGGGGGAGAGTGGGAGGGGAATGACCAGCAGTGTTGTGCCGAAAACAAGGTGGCTCGATAAGAGGAATGGAGCAATCCCTTCGGCAGGTGCGAGATCCTTACATGCGATTTTTGAGTCGACGCATTCAGAATTTTCAGAAGCACAGCATGTTTTCTCGAGACCCCTTCGGCAAGTGCATTGTTACAGAGCGAGAGGACATGCTTCCTTTTGTTGCAGGCGACTTTTTACAATTCTCAAGAATCACCCGCAACGACAGGGAGAGGTCCCTTTCGCAGACACATTTTTACAAAGCGAGATCCCTTGCTGTCCCATTGCAAGCCTCGACTCGTGACCGCAAAATCCCATCTGCACGGTAAGGGACTTGCTGAGTCTGTTTCTGAGGGGCCTCAAGATTGAGAACTTACAGTGTCGTTGGCAATCTTGACAGTCACATAGGGCTGGCGGTACAGTGTGTCCAGCATGGCTTGCAGATAGCCCTCCACGTATGCCTGGTGGAAAGGGAAAGGAGATGCGATCACGTGTGATTCACGGAAGCGTGTGTGCAGCACAGCTTGCTCTTGAGTCATAACCCTTTCCACACATGCCTGGTGGGTGGAAAGGGGTTCAGTAAGAGGTGTACTTTGAGTCGAGAGTATTGGGGATGAGAGCATGGTCAAGACACAGAAGAACGTGTCCAGCATGGCTTGCTTGCACATAGCCCTCCACGTATGCATGGTGAGTGGAAAGGGTCGAGGACAAAAGGCATGGTTAGGGCTGGAGACATAGCGTATCCACCATGGCTTGCACATAGCCCTCCACGTAGTAAGGGTGAGTAAGGGTGAGTAAGGGTGAGTAAGAGGTGAGTAAGAGGTGAGTAAGAGGTGAGTAAGAGGTGAGTAAGAGGTGAGTAAGAGGTGAGTAAGAGGTGAGTAAGAGGTGAGTAAGAGGTGAGTAAGAGGTGAGTAAGAGGTGAGTAAGAGGTGAGTAAGAGGTGAGTAAGAGGTGAGTAAGAGGTGAGTAAGAGGTGAGTAAGAGGTGAGTAAGAGGTGAGTAAGAGGTGAGTAAGAGGTGAGTAAGAGGTGAGTAAGAGGTGAGTAAGAGGTGAGTAAGAGGTGAGTAAGAGGTGAGTAAGAGGTGAGTAAGAGGTGAGTAAGAGGTGAGTAAGAGGTGAGTAAGAGGTGAGTAAGAGGTGAGTAAGAGGTGAGTAAGAGGTGAGTAAGAGGTGAGTAAGAGGTGAGTAAGAGGTGAGTAAGAGGTGAGTAAGAGGTGAGTAAGAGGTGAGTAAGAGGTGAGTAAGAGGTGAGTAAGAGGTGAGTAAGAGGTGAGTAAGAGGTGAGTAAGAGGTGAGTAAGAGGTGAGTAAGAGGTGAGTAAGAGGTGAGTAAGAGGTGAGTAAGAGGTGAGTAAGAGGTGAGTAAGAGGTGAGTAAGAGGTGAGTAAGAGGTGAGTAAGAGGTGAGTAAGAGGTGAGTAAGAGGTGAGTAAGAGGTGAGTAAGAGGTGAGTAAGAGGTGAGTAAGAGGTGAGTAAGAGGTGAGTAAGAGGTGAGTAAGAGGTGAGTAAGAGGTGAGTAAGAGGTGAGTAAGAGGTGAGTAAGAGGTGAGTCGACTCAAAGCACGATCCAGGGGAGTCGACTCAAAAATCGACTCACTACACGCGGATTATATGTGGAGAGGATTTTTGTTGCATGGCAAATTGGTTGTAACCTTAACAGGTTACTGGTACGCGCGCGACTTCCACAGTTGCTGCCTGGCGAGGATGCGAATTCGAACTTCAACGACGACGCTCCAAGGATTGAGGACGTGGCCACCTGAGAAATTTTCAAGGGTGACATGTACTGGTCCCCGTATTTCGGGCTGACCTGGTGTAGATAACATAGAGATCAGTTTTTCTGAGGCTTCGTTTCTTCTTGAAGCGTAGCTTAGCTCTGTTTCTTTCATTAGCACTGATGAAGGCCTGCTAGGGTAGCCCCTTAACGGCCGAAACATGTTTGTTTTACTCTACTGCTGAAGTTCTTGAGCTCGGATTGTTGAGATCTAAGTTTTACAGAAGGGTTTTTACTGTCTATCTTTTGCTTTAAGCCTGAATAAGTTTGCTGCTCGCTGAGAACATGTCCCAAGACCAGTTGGCACTTACGCTTGACTCAGATGACGCCGAACTTAACAAGGGCAGTTCTGCTATTGTGATCCACGAGGCAGGTGTTCCCAAGACTTACGCGGGGTATCGCACGCACAAGCGACAACGCCTTCGCGAACTTGAAGGAGCAAAACATACTGCACCAACTCGCGGACCGACATCGCACGGCGAGCAAACATTTTCTCCTCCCGCCATGGAGATGGATCCCGCTTCGAACGCTGCTCCTGCGGTAGCACCTGCTGTTGCTTCCACGAGCGCTAACCCGGCTGTTCCTGAGCAGTTCAACATTCCTGAGCGCTTTAAAGGCTGGACTGCTGTGGCGGTCAAGGGTTTTCGGGCGGATTTCAAATCACTCTTGAAGGCGAAGTCCAAGCTTCAGAAGATGAAGACGCTTGATGAACAGGGTGTGCTTCTTCACAGTATTCGCACCAAAGCAGTTGAGTTCCAGACGAAATACCCTTCTGTTCGGGAAAAGTCTGCAGCTTCGGTTGCTGCTGTTCATCTGGAGAATCAAAAGCGTATCCAGAAGGACTTCATCGCTTCGAAGGAGATGGAGGTCGAGGAGATTTTGGCGGCTTCTAACCTGCACGTGACGACTCTGGCGACAAAGCTTGAGGACTACCTGAAAAGTCTCTCGGAGAACCCTGACCTGGCGGTATCTGATGCTACCAGGGAGAAGTACAGGAAGATCAAGGGGGCCTGCATCGAGAAGGCGCAGTCCGACATAGCCATCGCCAGGGATGAGATCATCATCCAGGAGTTGGAACGGCAGAAAAAACGTGAAGCTGAAGATTTGAAGAAAGCTGCCGCGGCTGAGGAGATCGACAGAATGGAGTTGGATCCGACGGTCGACGCAATCGTTCAGAAGCACGTAAAGAAGGTCGAAGATCGGCTTCGCAAGGAGTTCGCGGCGAAGCTGGACAAAGAGCTATCTGCGAAGCTTCAGAAGATTGCGTTGGAGAAGAAGGTCTCTCCGTCGGCCACCGCCGCTGACTCTAAGCCCCAGAACAACAAGGCGAAGAAGAAGCGGGGGAAAAAGAAGAAATCTGACGCTCCTACCGACGGCAAGGGGAAGGGCCAAGCAGCACCGAAGCAGGCCTGGGTTCCAAAAAACGGAGGCGGCGGCCCCGCAAACGGGCCGCCAAAGAAGAAGTAACGGCGCGGGATCTCGCGCTTCTTTGGTTCGGCCGTTTGACTTCACGACAAGCCATGTCGCGGGTCCGAAACAACGGAGTGCATAACCTGAGTGCTAAGGTTTTAACGACCGATGAGCGACGAGCACTCGGGATGGGATTGAAGTTCGTGCCAACGCCTACCAGGAGCCCTTCCATCGAAGCAGACCTCGATCAACTGCATCGACGGATTTCTCTTCATTTTTTCTTCAAGGATAAAGGGGATTCATCTGAGATGTCACGCTTCCGTGTGCGCAACCCAGATTGGAAACCCGATCGGGATGCTGTCCCGGAGTCGGTTTTCAGGGAGGCCCACAACGACCTCTCTTACCTTCTGAAAGCGACGACGCCACGGCGGGGTTTCAATATCTCGTCAGGAATTCGCAAGGCGTTGCGCTCCCTCGCCGCCGACCGCAGCATCGTCATCAAACCTGCAGACAAGAACGTTGGCGTCACTATCCTTGATCGGCAGCACTACATCGACCTTTGTATGGAACATCTCGGAGATGCGGAAGTGTACCAGCCGATTGAACGCAACCCGACGCCACGGGTTCTGCAGCAGCTGCGGGAGTTGAAGGTGACGTGGGGACCGGCTTTTCCAGACAGTCTCTGGAAATATTTCTTTAAGGAACCACCCGGGGGATGGCGGCCAGCTGCGTTCTACGTCTTGCCTAAGCTTCACAAGAAAGTACCCGTGGGGCGACCGATCGCTGCCTCACATTCATGGGCCACGACTAATGTGAGCAAGTGGCTTGACGCTGAACTTCGCCCGCTGGTCTTGAATCGTCCTACGTACCTCCGGGATTCTCTCTCTCTGCTGACAACGCTCGAACGCACCACGTTTCCGACGACGGTACTTCTAGCGACGTATGATGTAGCCGCTCTCTACCCCAGCATTTCGATCGAGCGCGGTCTTGATGCGGTCAGCAGTTTTCTGATGAGGGAGAAACCGCAACTCACCCCACCTCTCATGGCCCTTCTGGGTTGGGTCATGAGGAACTCTTTTGTCGAGTTCGGCGGCCGGATCTTTCACCAACTACGAGGCACCGCCATGGGTACACCTGTAGCAGTCTGCTTCGCGATCCTGTTCATGAGCCGCCTGGATGAGTTACTGAAGGGGAAGTGGACCGGAACGTTACCTCTTTACCATGTGCGCTACATCGATGATGGTCTAATCGTATGGCCGGGGACGCGGGCAGATTTGGAAGCCTACCTGCGCACCTTCAATGAGCTTGATCCAAACATTCGGATCACATGGTCTGTTTCGGACTGCTCCATCGATTTTCTGGACGTGGTTCTCTTCAAGGGACCGCGGTTTAAGGAGCAGGGTACTTTGGATTTCGGCACGTTTCAGAAGCCGATGAATAAGTATCTCTATCTTCCCTTTGCTTCCTTCCACCCACGGCACTGCAAGGAATCCTTCATTCGCGCAGAATTGAAGCGGTACCTGCTCCGCTCTACATCACCTGCGATTTTCCTCGCAACGAAGAAGGCTTTCTTCGGCCGGCTTCGTGACCGTGGTTACCCTCCTGCTTTTCTGCACCCAATCTTCCAAGGCGTCACCTTCGCTCACCGTTCGTCACTCCTCGCCACTACCATCGCTAACCAGGCGCTCCGGCAACAGATTTCTCTCCCATCCCGTGGACCCCTAGTTCTGAAGACGCAGTACACTTCGGTGTCTGCTCGTCTCGGGCTAGGGGTCCTTTTGAGTCGACTCAAAAATCGACTCACTACACGCGGATTATATGTGGAGAGGTTTTTTGTTGCATGGCAAATTGGTTGTAACCTTAACAGGTTACTGGTACGCGCGCGACTTCCACAGTTGCTGCCTGGCGAGGATGCGAATTCGAACTTCAACGACGACGCTCCAAGGATTGAGGACGTGGCCACCTGAGAAATTTTCAAGGGTGACATGTACTGGTCCCCGTATTTCGGGCTGACCTGGTGTAGATAACATAGAGATCAGTTTTTCTGAGGCTTCGTTTCTTCTTGAAGCGTAGCTTAGCTCTGTTTCTTTCATTAGCACTGATGAAGGCCTGCTAGGGTAGCCCCTTAACGGCCGAAACATGTTTGTTTTACTCTACTGCTGAAGTTCTTGAGCTCGGATTGTTGAGATCTAAGTTTTACAGAAGGGTTTTTACTGTCTATCTTTTGCTTTAAGCCTGAATAAGTTTGCTGCTCGCTGAGAACATGTCCCAAGGCTAAAGGCCACATGTGCCACATGGCCTGCAGATAGCCCTGCACGTACGCCTGCACGTGGCGCCCAAGAGAAAGTGGAAAGGAAGCAAAAACTCCAAACCAGGCACCTTAAAAATCAAACCCTTCACTCTCAAGCTCACACTTACCTCGTGCAGCCCCAGGCTGGTGAGCAGGCAGATGCGTGTAGTGGAGAGGAAGTGGCGGCGAGTGAATGAGGAGACAAGAGGGTTGCAGAAGCACAAAACCCAACAAACACCCTAAACTCTGACCTGAATCCCAAGCTTACCTCGTGCAGCCCCAAGCTGGTGCACAGGCGGATGCATGGTGGAGAGGAAGCGGCGGCGAGTGGACGAGGAAGCGGCGGCGAGTGGATTACGAGGAGGACAAGCAAGTGGGGTTTGTGGAACCCTAGCCTTGAAAAATGAAACCCCTGAATTCTAGCCTAGCCTACACTTTACCTCGTGCAGCCCAAGGCTGGTGCGCATGCAGATGCGTGTAGTGGAGAGGAAGCGGCGGCGAGTGGATGAGGAGGAGGCGGAAGAAGAGAGAGCGGCAGTGAAGCCGGGTGCGAAGGGGTGGAGCAGGGGTGCGAGCATGGTGTCTGGTTCCATGGCAATGCGGAGGATGGCTCGTTGAAAACCCTTGGCCTGGGGGAAAGCATGCGGGGATGGTAAAAGAAAGAGGAGTGTTATGTGTCGATGTGTTGAAAGAGGAGCAGAGGGGTGGAGCAGGGGGATAGAGCATGGTGTCTGGCTCCATGGCTATGCGGAGAATTGCAAGCTGAAAGCCCTTGGCCTGATGGATGGGATGGTAGATGGTACGGCAAGGGATTGCTTAACGTGTTAAAAGAGCAGCGCTGGGGTAGAGAAGCGGAGTGAGCATGGTGTCTGTTTGGCTCCGTGACAATATTCAGAGGGGCACGATGAAAGTCATGGTAATATACAAGATGGATGGGGTGGGGTGGGGTGGGGTGGGGTGGGGTGGGGTGGGGTGGGTTGGGGTGGGGTGGGGTGGAATGGGATACGTGGGATGGATCGCATAGCATGGGAGAAAGGACTTGACTCACCAGGCCCGGCAGGCCACCGCTCTCCACCCCTCGCATCATGGAGTCAGAGAGCTCTGATACCATTGCGTGCACCACTCCTGTGCCTGCCTCCCGCACCTGATGGGACGGATGGAGGGGAAGGGAGAGGAGGGCAGGGGACCAGGAAACAATGGCAATGCGGAACAGTGTACTCACACTCGACTCCACATCCCCCAGGAAGCTTTTGAGTCGACTCAAAAGCAATGCGGAACATTGTACTCACACTCGACTCCACATCCCCCAGGAAGTGTCGGATGCGGAAGAGTGTGGAGGAGATCTAAGCAGTACAGGAGGGTTTTTCTGTCTATCTTTTGCTTTAAGCCCGACTAAGTTTGCAGCTCGCTCAGAAATTATGTCACAAGACCGACTGGCGGATGCGGAAGAGCATGGAGGAGATGCCAAAGTTTTGAGGCGCCTCAAAACTCAACGGAAGAGCGTGGAGGAGATGCCAAAGGAGCATATTTGAACTCCCCGAAAAAGTGATGCTGTACCCGCTGTAGACATGTTGCGCTACTCACTATAAGCGTCAAGCTACACTGTACTCACTGTAGACTCCACATCCCCCAGGAAGAGCGTGGGTGAGATACCAAACGCGCTGCCACCACCGCCGGCATCACGTCTCCTCACAACCTTGCGGAGAATATCAAATATTCCTGTAACGAGGACGGTTGGGTGGGTGGAATGGTGACGAAGAAGCGGGCATGAAACAAGGGGTTGAAGCACACATCAAGAGCAATGAAGCGCTGTGCTGGTGGCTGTCTGAGCCGTACCAGCCATGTGAATCACCATGTACACCGTTGAATCAAGATTCAGGATGTTCTTGGAGAATTCTCAAAAACACCCTGTCTGAGCTCCACCTGCGAAGTGATTCACCATGTACACTGTAGAATCTAGATTCACACCTCACCTCTAGTCGCAGTAACCAGGGCAATTTGTAGTCGCACCTCCAGTCGCAGTAACCAGGGCAATTTGTAGTCGCACCTCCAGTCGCAGTAACCAGGGCAATTTGTAGTCGCACCTCCAGTCGCAGTAACCAGGACCTGTAAGTGCACTTGTATTCTTCAAGACCACCTCCCCACTCCCCTCCACCCCCCCACAGCCACACCCCCAAGGCAGGCAGTACTAATCAAAGGGTTCACCATACGTACCTACCTCTGGTGGTGGCGGTGGCGAGGCCGATGTGCCCCTGTGAGGGGTCGAAGAAGGCATCCAGAGCTGACGAAGCAGAGCTTTCAAAGAGAGCCGTGAAGGGCTGTGGACCTGTGGTGGTGGTGGTCTATACAGCACACAGGCAGGCAGCATCTATGGGCTATAGGCTATAATCCTACTCTTCGTACCTCTGGTGGTGGCGGTGGCCAGTGCGATATGCCCCTGTGAGGGGTCGAAGAAGGCATCCAGAGCTGACGAGGCAGCCATGAAGGGCCGTGGCCCAGAAGTGGTCTGTGAAACACACAAGGCAGCATCTATAAGCTACAACCCCACACACTGTGCGTACCTCTGGTGGTGGCGGTGGCCAGGGCGATGTGCCCCTGTGAGGGGTCGAAGAATGCATCGAGCGCTGACGAGGCAGAGTCATCAAAGAGAGCCGTGAAGGGCTGTGGGAGGAGGGGCAGGCCCCGTGCTATGTACACTGCTCTCAAGGCGTACCTGCGTGGGGTGGGGGGGTAGGGGAGACCAGGGAAGGGGAAAGGAGGGGAGAAGAGGATAAATCGATTCGTCAAAATGAGCAGTGTAGGGGCTGTGGGAGCAGCGGTAGGCCTCGCGCTATGTACACTGCTCTAAGGGCGTACCTGCGAGGTGGATTGGGGGAGGATGGGGAGGGAAGATGGCGATAAGGGGAGATGAAAAGAGAAGGTGCAGTGGTTGTGAGTGGTTGAGTTGGGTTACCCCCCTTATGCAAAGAAAGAAGAGCCAGCACCCCCCGCCCTATGTACACAATACACTGTCTATACTCACCAGGAGTAGTGTCTTGTGAGATTGGCAACCATCTGCTTGGACGAGGTGAGAGCGCGCGTGAGCCAGCAGCCCATGCAGGTGGATGGACGTGTGCTGCACTGTTGGCACTTGAATCACCGAGTGGGAGGGAGGCAAGGCAGTACCAAGTAGCGAGACTCACCACGAGTAGTGTCTTGTGAGCTTGGCAACCATCTGCTTGGACGAGGTGAGAGCGCGCGTGAGCCAGCAGCCCATACAGGTGGATGGACGTGTGCTGCACTGCTGGCACTTGAATCACCGAGTGGGAGGGAGGCAATGCAGTACCAAGCAGCGAGACTCACCACGAGTAGTGTCTTGTGAGCTTGGCAACCATCTGCTTGGACGAGGTGAGAGCATGCGTCAGCAGCAGCCCGTGCAGGTGGATGGGTGTTCGCTGCACTGCTGGCACTTGAATCACCGAGTGCAGAATCCCCCTCAGCGCCTCCTGTGCTGATGAATAGTCAATGGCACCCGGTGCACTGGGAAGGAAACTCGCCACCACCTGAAAGTGGGGGGACGAGGGACGAGGGATGTGGGATAGGGGATACACATTGGGCAATGGTGTGGCAGACTGCGTGTCTAGAGCACTTGGATCACCGAGTGCAGTATCCCCCTTAGTGCCTCCTGTGCTGACGAGTAGTCAATGGCACCTGTGCATTAGGAAGGAAACTCGCCACCACCTGAGGGAAGGGGGAGGGGGAAATGGCGGGATGGGGGGATGGCGGAATGGGGGGTTGGCGGAATGGGGTGTGAGGGATGGGAGATGGAGGATGGGGGATGGGGGATGGAGGATGGGGGATGGGGGATGGGGGGGGATGGATCCAAGCAACGTAGTTAGGCAAAGCTACATCATAACACGTCTATTTCAAAGCATTTCACGTGAGAATCCCTTTTCCTAAAGCCTAAACCATGGTGCTCCTGGTCTGGTTGAGAGTGCTTTGCCATGGGCCTACCTCACAGCACAGCACCAGGCACATGCTCATAAGCCCATCCCACCTTGATGGGGTGAATCTCGAGGTATTCGATGTAGATGGGTGTGGTGCTCCAGTCGCGCACGGGCACGCTGGGGTCCTTGCTTCGGTAGAAGGGCACGAGGCGCAGCAGCGTGCTCTCATCTATGTTCACCTCCACTGCCTGGTGGGATGGGATGGGGTGCGGTGGAATGGGGTGGAGTGGGTTGGGTGGGATGCGGGCATCAAAAGGCATCAACAGCATCGCATCCAAGCAGCAGCACAAAGGACTGTTTTCTTCTCAATCCTCAAACGTATTTTAAGGTTCCTAAGGATATGTACTACTTTTGAGGTGCCTAAAAAAACCTCAATCCTATTATAAGGTTCCTAAGGATATGTAAGCCAGCGAACCAAGCATACTACCTGAACACATATAGAGCAACAAGAAGGGTGCAGACCGGATGTGCTGTGGCCAGGAAGCAATCTATTTTTCCGGTTGAGTTTACTACACAAACATTGCTCTTCAAGTCTACAAAAAAATCACTCATTCTGCCTGAACCCACCTGCAGCAGGAAGGATGCGGAGCGAATGTGCTGTGGCCGCGAAGCCAGCCGATTCACAACCACTGCCATTGAACACAACGGCACCCCCTCCCCTCCTCCTCCTCCTCCGCCTCCTCCTAATCCTCTCCCTCCTCCCACCCCTCCCACGCCCTCCCTCCCCACCCGCCAGTCCCTCAAGGTGCGTCCTATCATGGTGCCACTGGCAGCCCCAGCACCCATGGTGGCAGACGGGTTGAGGGAGCGAAGAACCACGGCTGAGGAGAGGATGGGGTGCTGTGCGGTGGTGCTGGAGGAGGAGTGGCTGAGAGAGAAGGGGAGCGGTGGGGGCTTGAGGGATGGGGAACGAGAGTCGATACCGGCATTCTGTGTGAGTGGACAAGGGGAGAGAGAGGGGAGGAGGAGGGGGAACAGGGGGGAGGTGGTGGAAGGTTTCGGGGTAGAGGGGGGGTTGTTGTGGTTGTGGATGCAGGAGTTTATAAAGTTGAGGAGTGGTTGGGGGAGTGGATGGAAAAGGAGATGCGGAAACTGGGCAGATATATATGTTGATGATCCATGATGTGAGGAGTGGATGGGGGCGTGGATGCTGCTTTTAGGATGGGCATGGGCATGGGCATGGGGACGGGCATGGGCATGGGGATGGATATTGGAATAGGCATCAGCATCGGCATTGACATGTGCATGGGTATGAGGACAAGGAGGCCCACAAGAAGGATGTTATTGCAATAACAGCAAGAACAAATAACTGAAGGGCGAGTGAATGACGTCTCATATCAACGTGTAGAAAGTAGATTTTTGAGACGTCTCAAAAATAACTGAAGGGCGAGTGAATGACGTCTCAAAAATAACTGAAGGGCGAGTGAATGACGTCTCAAAAATAACTGAAGGGCGAGTGAATGGCGTCTCAAAAATAACTGAAGGGCGAGTGAATGACATCTCAAAAATAACTGAAGGGCGAGTGAATGACGTCTCAAAAATAACTGAAGGGCGAGTGAATGACGTCTCATAGCAACTCACACACAGCACAGCCTCAAGAGCCAGGTCTCTTTGAGAAAGAGACAAGGACGCCCACAGGCCGTCCGCCCGCCCGTGCAGCAACACCCGGCGATCCATCTCCTCCTCTCTCTCCTCCTCCCTCTCCTCTTCCTCTTCCTCCTCCCCTCTCCCTTCCTCTCCCTCCGGCTCTTTCCCCTCTCTCCTCTCTCTACCCTTCCCTGTTGGTGCTGCTGCCTCCTCCTTTGCACTCAACTCGGAGAAGCTACTGGACTGGTGTCAGTCAGGGAGGACAGATTCGGAGGGTGGAAAACACAGTCACAGACAAAACATACATACATGTGCATATGTATATATGCAAAAACATATGCAAATCGGATTTCCAAGGTAAATGTTTGTATGTAGGGAGGACGAGGAAGCTTCCTGTTGAACAGATCCACTTGTGTGACCATAAGCACACAATAATCATGGTGCGGGCCAGGCTGGAGTTTCATTGAGAAGACCCATAAGCAATCACATGGAGTTTTTGAGAATTCTCGAAAACACGCTGGAGTTTCATCGAGTAGATGCATAAGCAATCACATGGAGACATGAGTGAGGCCACGGTTGAGAATTCTCGACATCCAAACTCATAGCGAAGAAGGGCAGCAGTATTGAAAAAAGTGAAAAAAGTAGATCTAGAGAAAACGCCTTGTCTCGAGAAGAGCTTCCTTGCGTAAACTAGTTTCGGCGGATGGGGAAAACCCAATCACATGGAGACATGAGTGAGGCCACGGTTGAGAATTCTCGACATGAGTGAGGTCACGGTTGAGAATTCTCAAGGCTGAGGGAAGGTGAGGTGAGCTCTCTCACCTGCAGCAGCTTGATGTCAATCCCTCCCACCTCCACATGCCTTCCATTTCCCTCACATCCACGAATACCATGCCCCCCCATTCCCTCACCAATCGCCTTACCTGCAACAGTTTGATGTCAACCCCTTCCACTTCCACCATCCCTTCCACCCCCCTCACATCCCCTGCCTCCCTGCCGCCCCCTTCCGTCCCACCACCAGTCAAAGCCCCCGCACTCCCACCACTGGTCACAGCAATAGCACCACCACTTGCACCACCACTCGTAGCACCACTGCTCACACCAGTCCCCCATGCGGCACCCTTTCTGCCAGAGCCCTCCCGGTCCTTGGCGCCCTCCCTCGTGCACACACGCACCACCCGTATCGGCCCATCTGCATACACTTCCACTCCCACCACCTGCTGCCTTGCCGCCTGCTCCCGTGCCGCTTGCTGCCTTCCTGAAGCACCTGCTACACCCCTGCTGCCTCTACCCCTGCCCCTTCCACTGACAGCTCTACCTTCCTCAGTTGCGCCCTCCCCAGCACCTTCTCCCTCCTCTTGCCCCTTCTCCTCATCCTCATACTTGTAAGCATCATCATCAAAATCCTCTTCCTCCTCCTCCTCCTCCGCCCCCTCCTCCCCCCCTTTCCACTGGTGCAGGTGGAAAGGCAGGTGGAAGGGCAGCAGGGAGGGGAAGGCGGACTGGGGGAGGCGCAGGCGGCGCCACGGCTTGACCTTGTCAGGACTCACCTCCTGCTGGGGCGAGCAGCCTGCATAGTGGGAGGTGGGAATCGAATATGGGCCGGGGAAAGGCAATGGCAACGGAGGGGAAGGCAGGGTGGGAGTGACAGAGACGTAGGTGGCGCCACGGCTTGACCTTGTCGAGACTCACCTCCTGCTGGGGCGAGCAGCCTGGACCATGGGCGTGGGCAGTGAAGCAGTAAGCAAAGGATTTTTATGTAGCATGATCTGAGGTGCGTGCGCGTGATAAGAATTGGGATCAATAAAACAACATAGGGACTACATTACATGGATGGAGCGTACCCAGAGCAACGCCCAGAGCAACGAGGTGACTTTTGAGTCGCTCAAAAGTCACCTTAGATCATGGGGACTACATGGATGGAGCGCACCTGGCGCAGTGAGCAGCAGCCTCTTGGTTAAGCGCCAGTCTTCCCAGGTAAAGGGAACGGATTCGCCTGCTTCCACCACCTCCCATCCCTCTGAACCCTGCACACATGCAACATGCAACATGCAATTCAGTCCAGTGTCACAGCATATAGTCACACACTTCATTCGAGTGACACAGTTCGCACCAGTCAATGTTACAGCCCAAGGTGAATTCTGAGTCGACTCAAAAGTTGCCCAGCCTTCTGCTACTCACTTTCTGCACAACATTGTTATATTTCTTTTTTGCAACAGCTGGCTACAGCCCTGCCCACCCACCCACCTTCTGTGCTACAGAGACGGCCAATCCCAACAGAGTGTTCTCAATGCGGTATGGCGCCTCCCTCATGCCGTCCACTGGACGAATCTCCGCCACCCACGTGCCGCCCACCGCTGCCCCTGCTAACGCTGCTCCCGGTGCTGCTGACGGTGATATCCCCGAGGGTTCTTTCTTCCCTGCTGCATCAGCACCTGATGTTCCATCGCCACGCCCCATTCCCATTCCTTCCGGCCCCCCTGCTTTCCCTGCTGACGTGTTCAACCTCAAATCAGGTGCTCCTTCTGCTGAGCCTCCCGTGGTTACTCCCCCGCCTCCTCCTCCCTCTGCCACATCAGCAACGGCGAAGAGCACCGGCTGTAGCACGCGCACGCCACCTGCCGCTACAACCGACATTGACAGCTGGTGCCGGAGGTCTGCTGCTGCTGCTGACGGTGATGCTGCTGGTGATTTTGATGATGGGGATGATGGGGACGGGGATGGGGGAGTTTCCTGGATGGTTCCTCCTAGTGGGTAACCAGCACCCCCATTGTTGCTGCTGTTGCTGTGAGAGCGCATCTTGAGGCAGAACGAGCCAAGAGATGCCGCTCCGAACGGCCCGGACCAATGCCATGTGGCAGGCTGTGATTGGCCTCGAGGGGATGGAGCAGGCGAGAATGGATCGGAAGAATCCAGTGGGCGGAAACGCAGGAAAGGACGAATGATGCCGCCCTCTTCCAGCACAGAATCGTGAGAGGAGGAAGCAGGAGGAGAGTAGGGGGAGGAGGAGGAGGAGGAGGAGGAGGAGGAGGAGGAGGAGGAGGAGGAGGAGGAGGAGGAGGAGGAGGAGGAGAGGGCGAGGGAGGAATGGGAAGACCAGATGTGCGAGGGTGATTGGGCGTGGATGGGTGCAGATTCGCCTGGTTGGATGGTGGTCCAAAGCTGGGGGAAATACTGCACATGGGAGACACAGGCAGGGGAGCATGGGAAAGGCAGGTAAATCAACACTCCTTAATGAGTCTCGAAAGATCGTCCATAGCTCCACAGAAGCACTCACATGCACAGAAGGAGTGCGGCCGCTGCCAGTCTCAGCGCAGGCAATAAGAACATTGTTCTACTCTACCCACAGCATTCCTCCACGTACCCACAGCATTCCTCCACGTACCCACAGCATTCCTCCACGTACCCACCCACAAGCAACCCACAAGCAAGCACCAGCCACAACATACCTACGAAGCCCTTGGACAGAACATTCCTTCCCTTGTGAACATTCTTACACTATCAAACCTCCCTCTTCAAACCCACCTCTAGCCCTTCCTGGCACACGAGCAGCGGCACGGGGAAGTGGTTGCGAACAACGTATCGTGGGCAGATCTCCGCCACACGGGAGGGACTGCCACTCGCTGCCAGGCGCAAGCGGACGGCAAACTGGAAGCAACGCAGCGACCAATCACATGCTGACTCAGCATTACCAGCAATGACACCCCCCTCCACATCCCCTTCTTCCCCTTCTTCTCTTCCTTCCCCTTCCTTCCCTTCCTCCCTTTCCTCCCCTTCCTCTCCTTCCTCCCCACCTTCCATCACCGTCTCTAGCCGCCGCCTCTCCCTTCCCCTCTGCTGCTCCTGAGCTCTTTTTCCTGTACCCCTTATAGACATCCTCCGTTCTCTTACAGTAGCCTCCCTGTCCCTTATAACGGCTACATACTGCACAAGCTGGATTTCTGTGGTGCGGCAGATGGAAGAGAGATCAATGGTGGCTCCTCTTCCTGCAACACTGCTGCTTCCCTTGTTGTCTCTCTCCCGGTTGTTACCTCTCTCCACTCCCAGTTGACTTGTGCCCTCCTGTGCCTGTGCGATGGAGATGCAGACTGACGTGCCACTGCGAGAAAACACGCGAGGGCAGAGGGAAAGAGGGTGCTTTATATGGCCTGCCATGTTTGCTTTGCCAGCTGCAACACAATCGCGAGAGCAGCAGGCTATAACAGCAGGGTTTTCTTAAATAACAAGCACAAGAATGAGAAATCACCACAAAAAGTGGAGCAGAGGAGCAAAGGAGGAGAGGATCAAGGGAGCAAACAATCTTTATGCCCTCACACAGCAAGCCACGGCTTGGCGGCGCTGGGGTTCAGAAGTAGAGACGCGGTGGAGTGCGGTGAAGATGTCTGTGATTGCTGCTGTGCTCGGCTCCCTCTCCTCCCCCTGCCATCTGGCACCCAAGATGATTCCACTGGGTTTCCCGCCACAGAGCAGAGCAGCGGCGTGTTAGTGGCATTGTGGATGGTCCATGCGGGAAAGATCTCAAACTGCATGGGAATGGATGAGTGGGAAGGGGGGGTGAGGAGAGAGAAAACGAGGATGCAGATTTTGCATATGGACGGGATAGTGTGGTGTGGGCTTGGGCCAGGAAGAAAGCAAACGGCGTGCCAGTGGAATCTCGGATGGTCAATGCCGGGATTGGTCAATGCGGATGGTCAATGCCGGGATTGGTCAATGCGGATGGTCAATGCCGGGATTGGTCAATGCGGATGGTCAATGCCGGGATTATGTCAAACTGCATTTGAAGAGGAGGGGGCACGAGGCAATTGGAATGGCCACAACACGCCCTTGGTTTCTTGGAAGAACAGGTGCAATGAGAGAGAACTAGTGCAGGGGGACTAATGCAAGGGAAAACAGGTGGAGAATGGCTGTTGTAGCATGGGAACTTCTTTCTCGAATGGCTGTACTACTGGTATACAAAACACAGAATATTGTCAGACAAGGTATAGAGTTAATAGTCAGACAAGTTACTTGGTCGACTTAATAGAGAGAGTCTCACCTCAGGCACAGCATCCTTATCGCTGTATCGGGTTCGCAACTGCACTGCCATCTCACACGCACTCCCCCTCATTGACACACCACCCTGCTGCTGCCGCTGCCTCTGCTGCTGCTGCTGCTGCTGCTGCTGCTGCTCCTGAGGATTCACCTGAGGCGGGCCCACCAGCTGCTGCTGCTGCTGCTGCCCCTCCTGGAAATTCACCTGATGCAGTTTCACCTGGACCTCGTTCCCACCAGCAGACGGCAACCCTCCCAGGTGGGCAAGAGCCACTGCGCCCTTGACAGGTGGCAGCACGTCACGGGCCAGCAGCGCCAGCAGGTTACCAGCACAGGGCACGTGGGCAGGGGCGCTGTTCCACGTGTCACTTGCTGCAGTCACACCGATGCTGCCGAATTCCGTGCTGCTGCTGATGCTGCTGCTGCCAGATTCTTTAGGTGGTTTCACAGATAATGGATAGGAGGTGTGGAGGAGAGTGAGGTAGCACCAGGAGGGGTCAGCAAAGAGAGAGAGCCAGCCAGAAGAGGCGGCAGGGATGTGAAGAACGGATGCATGACCTGCAGGCACAGCAGCACTGGCAGTGGCAGCAGCGACAGCACCACCACCATCAGTAGCAGCAGTAGCAACAATAACCGCTGAAGCAGCACTGGCTTCCCTCTTTGTTGGTGAGATACCCACCACTATGTCAAAGGGAAGCCAGCAGCGCACTCGAGCAGTGGGCAGCACCTCTACCTGCATTGGCCGCACCCATGCCACCCCCCTCCCCTCTCCCCCCTCCCTCTCACTCCCGCCCACCTCCCCTCTCCTCCCTCCCCCTCGCAAGTCACTCACCACTTGACCGTCTTTCAATGCCCCCAGATGAACCTCCTCAGTTCCCACCTTCACCAGAAAATGCCGAATCTCGCCCCTGACTGCACAACCTGTGCCATCTCCTGGCCCAGCTAGTCCAGCACTCTCCCGAGCCTGTTGTTCAGGTTCGGGATTTCTAGACCCTCCAGAGGGGCCTTTTGGGTGGCAAGTGAGGGTGGAAAAGGACGAATTGAGGGCACCGCTCAGATGCAGCATCTGGCTGATCTGCAGCATGCGGCCCATTTTTGTCTTCATCTGCCGCTGTATGCCGTCCAGCCAGCTCTTGTCTCTTACTGCCTGAGATCCCGAGATCTCCTCCGACCAATCAAAGCACAGCTGCTCTTGCTCTTGCTCTTGCTCTTGCTCCCACTCCTGCTGCTGCTGCTGTTGCTCCAGCTGAGTCTCCTGCTGCTGCTGGTCGCCAGTCCCAGGCGAGACGGCAGTGCTTCTGGGAGACAACGACGACCCGTGGCCGGGTGAGACTGACACGGTTGTGGCAGCGAATGGCCGGAACGACAACAGGTAATTGCCTGGATTTGAAACATACAAACAGGCAGGTGTGCGCAGACACAGAGAAGGGTTAAATGAAGAAAAACACATTGAAGACGCAGGAAACGAAGAGCTCAACGGGATAGGCCCACAGCAGTACGGAAAAGTAATGGCCTCAGCTGATCCTTGTCGTACCGGCTGCAAGGTCGTTGACAAGGCGGCGCTGCTCGCCTGCACAGGCAGCGAAGCGGAAGCAGAGTGCCGCATCGTCCAGAGCCTGCCCCTGCTGCAACTGCTCCACCACCTCTAGACCCCCCTGCTGCTCCCCCCCTTCCCCTCCTCGTTCTGCTGCTGCTGGCCCCCATTGCCCCTCCCCTGCTGACCGTCCCTGCTGCTCCCCTGCTGTGCCTCCTGGCACCACCTTCTCTGGCCCTCCTAGCTGCAACGACCCCAACTCATTCTGCTCGGCAAATGCCGCTCCTGCCTGCCCCACCGCTCCTACCCCCGCTTCCCCTCCACAAGCACCAATAGCAGCACCAGGAGCACCAGCAGCAGAAGCACCACTGGCTGCTGCTCGTGCGGAGAGAGCAGGGCGGCGGCGCAGGCAGACTTGCAAGGGGCAGCCAGTGTTGTTGCGAACAGAGAGAAACGGGGAGATGGAGAGGCGTACGCCCTCTGGTGTTCTCTTGGACACGCGCAGCACCACCATTGGCCCCGGCAGGGAGGGACCAGATTGCTGGGAGCCTGGAAAGAGAGAAGCGAGGAGAGAGAGGCAGGACGAGAGCCTGAGAACTGTCAGACGCCTGCTTCTGAGGCGTGCGGCGTGCCACTGGCACTGGCAGAGGGCTGCCACTGGCACTGGTTTCAGCGAGGCACCAGAAACCTGAACGATCGGAGGAAGAGAGAGTGAGGATGCGTGAAAAGGAAAAGAACTTCCGAGATATTCAGAGAGGCGGACTGACCTTGGAGCAGGCGTGTGCGGACAGCCAGAGAGCCCTCTGTGGCGATGGAGATGGAAAGTGGCAGCACCCAGCTCTGCTCTACTGCTGCTGCTGCTGCTGCTGCTGCTGCCTCCTGCTGTCCGTGCTGCTTCCCCACCTCCTGCTTCCCCTTCTGCCACTGTCCTTCCTGCTGCTTCCCCTTTTTCTGCTGCTTCCGTTGCTGCTCTGCTTGCTCCCGCTCTGATCGGTGGTGCTCTATTTGGTGCTGTTCAGTGCGGTGCTGCGTGATTGGAAGTGGTGGTGGCAAGAGGCGGAGGAAAGCAAGAGATGACTGGCGGGCGTTGGAGAGGTTCCTGCGGGACAAGAAGTGCCTGCAGGGGGAATGGCACAGAGCGGAACGAGGAATGGCACAGAGCGGAACGAGGTGGCAGAGAGGAGTGTCAAAGGAACGAGGAGTGGCACAGAGCGGAACGAGGAGTGGCACAGAGCGGAACGATGGCACAGAGCGGAAAGAAGTGGCACAGAGCGGAACGAATGGCACAGAGCGGAACGAGGAGTGGCACAGAGCGGAACGAATGGCACAGAGCGGAAAGAAGTGGCACAGAGCGGAACGAATGGCACAAAGCGGAACGAGGTGGCACAGAGCGGATCGAATGGCACAGAGCGGAACGAGGTGGCACAGAGCGGAACGAATGGCACAGAGCGGAACGAGGAGTGGAACAGAGCGGAACGAGGAATGGCACAGAGCGGAACGAGGAGTGTCAAAGGAACGAGGAGTGGCACAGAGCGGAACGAGGAGTGGCAAAGGAACGAGGAGTGGCAAAGGAACGAGGAGTGTCAAAGGAACGAGGAGTGTCAAAGGAACGAGGAGTGTCAAAGGAACGAGGAGTGTCAAAGGAACGAGGAGTGTCAAAGCAACGAGGAGTGTCAAAGGAACGAGGAGTGGCAAAGGAACGAGGAGTGGCAAAGGAACGAGGAGTGTCAAAGGAACGAGGAGTGTCAAAGGAACGAGGAGTGTCAAAGGAACGAGGAGTGTCAAAGGAACGAGGAGTGTCAAAGCAACGAGGAGTGTCAAAGGAACGAGGAGTGTCAAAGGAACGAGGAGTGTCAAAGGAACGAGGAGTGTCAAAGGAACGAGGAGTGTCAAAGGAACGAGGAGTGTCAAAGGAACGAGGAGTGTCAAAGGAACGAGGAGTGTCAAAGGAACGAGGAGTGTCAAAGGAACGAGGAGGGTCAAAGGAACGAGGAGTGTCAAAGGAACGAGGAGTGTCAAAGGAACGAGGAAACAGGAAAAAGGAAGAGGGAGAGGGGGACGAAGGGAAAACTACGGATCATGGGCGAGAGTGCTGTGGGACTCATCACACGTTGAGACTTGTTAAGCGCCTCAAATGGCATACAAGGCAAGGGTGGTTCAGTTCACTTCACTTCACATGGGTGACCAGAACGCTCTGACTCTGACTCCAGCAGTAGACGACGCTAAAAGAACGCGAAGAGTCAAGTCAGCCCCAGACAGCTCAGCTCAGCTCGGCTCAGCTCAGCTCGGCTCAGCTCAGCTCGGCTCAGCTCAGCTCGGCTCCGCTCGGCTCGGCTCAGCTCGGCTCGGCTCGGCTCAGCTCGGCTCGGCTCAGCTCGGCACAGCTCAGCTCGGCTCGGCACGGCACGGCTCGGCTCGGCTCGGCTCGGCTCGGCTCGGCTCGGCTCGGCTCGGCTCGGCTCGGCTCGGCTCGGCTCGGCTCGGCTCGGCTCGGCTCGGCTCGGCTCGGCTCGGCTCGGCTCGGCTCGGCTCGGCTCGGCTCGGCTCGGCTCGGCTCAGCTCAGCTCAGCTCAGCTCAGCTCAGCTCGGTTCGAACTCGAACTCGAATCATCCAGCTATATCGCTCATACATACATATACATCCGTCACTCACCGCACAAGAAACGTCCCTGTGCCTCTGCACCCAATCACTGCCTCAGATGTGCGCCCTCCTCCTCCGCTTCCCCATGCTTCTGCCGCTGGTTCTTTCACTCCCTGCTTGGTTGTCACCGCCGAGGGGCCAACATCAGCAAGCGAACTCCCAGCAGCAGCAGGAGAGCTATCAGAGGCGTGGTTGAAGAAGGAACAGGCGAGGTGGAGAGTCGTGTTGTTGGTCACCTGGGTGCGAGGGGGGAGGGGGGAGGGGGGAGGGGGGAGGGGTGTCGTGAATCTTCCTCTGTCCAGCCTCATTCCCTTTCTCCCCTGTGTAACCTGCTGACTTCTCCTTCTCTCCTTCCTTCCCTGCCACCCGTACTGCTGATCAGGTTCATCCCTTCTTCCTCCTGGCGTATGTAATCACTCTGTCCTGCACTCCTCCTGGTACCTCAGGCTTCCCTAGCAAGCGTAACACTCCCCCTCAGGGGCTCCGTTAAATTGCTTATAGCTTCTCCTACTGCTAGTTCCCTCTGGATTAGGAAAACAAATTGCAGTAAATGAGAAACATACAAGCAAAAAGCAAGAAGCCCGAGTGCTACTCCTGCCTACATCTATTCCCACCCCCTGCCTAGGTTGCTTCCTCCACAAGCAAGCTCCTGTGCACCAAGCGAGTCAGCCGGGCTGCTCGCGAGGTCTCCAAGGTGCTAGCTGTGTTCCCACTGGGCCCACTAGGCATGCACTGCCTTCCAGCCTGGTGACTTCGAATTCAATTCCCAGGCTGGCATTGAATTCGCCTTCCAGCCTTGTGACTTCGAAATTGAATTCACAGGCTGGAATTGAATTCGTCTCCACCAACCTCCTTGAATTCGCCTCCCACTAACCACCTCAAATTCCCCAGCTACTCGGCTCTGCAGTACAGTACAATACACTCCAAGCACACAAATGAAATTAGAGTACAAAAGCGGTAAACTATAGTACACCCTCACCTTGGCTGTTGTGGTATTCACACTTAGTTGCCAGCTAAGTGTTAATAATGCGACAGCTGTCGTGAATCTTCCTCTGTCCACCCTCATTCCCTTTCTCCCCTGTGTAACCTGCTGACTTCTCCTTCTCTCCTTCCTTCCCTGCCACCCGTACTGCTGATCAGGTTCATCCCTTCTTCCTCCTGGCGTATGTAATCACTCTGTCCTGCACTCCTCCTGGTACCTCAGGCTTCCCTGCCCCCTCCCGTGTCTCAGCGCCCATCTTTGCCGCTCGAGTCACGGGACCCACTGCCTGAGGCTTCCCTTGTCCCGCCCTGGCCACGTTGGTGATGTGTTCCTTGATGATTCCCCCTCGAATATCTTCCAGCACTAACACTCCCGAGCCTCGTATCTCTTTCACCTTCCACCGCTCCGATCCCACCGCTAAGTCCAGCGTGTCGCGCTTAGCTTTGCGAAGGTATACCTCCTGCCCTGCCTCCACCTTGTCACCCTTTCCCCCTATCCCTGATGCTTTACGCTGCTGGTATCGTCTTGCGTCACGCAGCTGCGCCACATGGAGGTTATCCAGAGCTGCCGGAGTCAGCTCCTTCAAATACTTTGCTCTCCTCTGTGCTAACTCCGCCCACAGGTTTGGCTCATCTGCCTCTATAACCGCAGAAAGCAGCTTCGGAGCATCGACCGGCAGCACAGGATCCCGCCCGAACAGTAAGTGGTATGGGGATAGGTTTCTCAGAGCCGCCTGCTTTGCGAACCTGTACCCCGCCAGCACCCACCAGAGATCTCGGTCCCAACTCCTTTTGTGGGACTCACTGTAGGCCCGTAGTCCTTTCTTCAAGGTCTGTATGAGCCTCTCGGTCAGTCCGTCTGATTGAGGATGGTACCTAGAGGTGACCCTGTGCGTGATACCCATCTTTTCCAGCAGCTCGTCGAAGCTCCCTTGAAATTCCGTCCCTTGATCAGTGAGTACCTCCCCGCATGCCCCATACCTGGTGAGCACCAGCTCCTCAAAAGCGTCAGCTATCAGTGCGCTGTTCTTGCTTGGTAACGCTCGCGCCTCCACCCATTTACTCGTGTGCTCAACCATCACCAGAATGTACTGCTTCCCTCCTTTCGATAGTGGCAGCTCTCCCGCGAGGTCCAACGACCACCTGTAGCCCAACCCGCGAATTGGTAAAGAATGCAGCTCATCTCTCTCTTTCTCCAGCCTTGCTTTATTCCTCTGACATGCCTCGCAGCTCGCCACTAATCCTGCCACATCCTTTCCCATGCTCACCCACCAGTACATGGTGCTCAGCAGCTGCCGTGTTCTGGTTATGCCGAAGTGCCCCAGCTTCGCGTGCACATTCCCCATAATCTTGGCTCTCTCCTGTGGTTGTGGCACCACCTTCCACCCTTCGTTGGTTCTCAGCTGCAGCTGTTCCTGAAACCACCTGAAATGCTGCCCTCGGGCCCTGGCTCTCTCGCTCACTCCTTCCTCTTCTAGTGGCTCCCCTTTGATCCAACTCAGGGTCTCCTCATCCTCCCATATATCCCCTAACCGCTTCTTTCCTTTCTCCTGCCCTCAGGGTACCGCCGCTACTTGAGCCAGGGCTGCCAGCTGCGCTACCGGCTGCATTGGTGGCGGATTCCTTGATAACCCATCTGCGTGCTGCAGCGTTTTCCCAGGCCGGTGTCGGATCTCAAAGTCGAATCCCAGCAGCTTAATGGCCCAGCGAGCGTTTCTTCCCGTCAGCTCCTGATGAGTCATCAACCATAGCAACGGCTGGTGATCAGTCACAAGTGTGAAGCGCCGACCCTGCAGGTACACCTTGAAGTGAGTGATCCCCCATACAGCTGTCAGGCCCTCCCCCTCGTAAGAGCAGTAGTTAGCCTCGGATGGGCTGCAGCTGCGGCTGGCGAAGGCTACCACTCTCTCCTCTCCTTCTATCTCTTGGCAGAGCACTGCCCCCATTCCTGTGCTGCTCCAGTCGGTGTATAAGATGAAAGGGGCATCTGCCCTCGGTATCTGCAGCAGCGTTCCCGTTCGTACTGCTTCTAGCAGGTCCTGCCTTGCCGTTTCCTCCAGCTCTCCCCACTGCCAGCTCCTCCCTTCCTTCAGCAGCTGATTCAGTATGTAGGCTCGGCGGCTGAAGTTCGGTACGAACTTCCTGTAATAATTCAGGAAGCCGAGTAACGCCCGCAGCCCGGTCTTATCCTTTGGTGCTGCCAGGTTCTCCAGCACCTTAACTTTTGCTTCCTGTATCGCCAGCCGGCCCCCTTTCACTTCAAAGCCCAGGTAAGCCACGGTCTGCCTTGCTATCTTGCACTTGTCTGGATGGCACGTCAGACCCGCAGCTGCTATAGCCTCTAGCGTCTGCTTCAGATCTTGCACGTGCTGCTCTTCACTGCTGCTGAAAATCAGTATATCATCTATGTAGCAGGCTGCTGCTGGAATCCCCTTCAGCACCTGATCCATGGCCCGCTGGAACACTGCAGGGGCGTTGCGTATCCCGAAGGGCATCACATTGTACTCATACAGCCCATCCACCCCGTGAAACGCCGTTTTCCGTTTGTCTTCCTCCCTGATGGCTATCTGGTTGAACCCCTGTCGCAGGTCCAAGGTGGTGAAGATGATGGCGCCTTCTAAGCGATCAAAGATGTCTTCTGCTGTTGGCATGGGGTACCTGTCCGGGCTGGTAATCTTGTTCAGCTCCCGAAAATCTCCACACATCCTTTTCGGCAGCACTTTACCCGTGATATCCTTCCTGGCAGCTACCACTGTGGCTGCTGCGTAGCTTGACTCGGACGGGCGGATAATCCCTGCTGCTAGCAGCTCCTCACACTTCTCCTTGCAGATAGCCGCATCCTCTGCATTCATTCTCCTTCTTCGTTGGTAAGTGGGTATCTCTGTGGTAAGGTTTAGCTCCAGCTCTCTTCCCTTGTACCTCCCCAATTCCTGCAGGTTATAGGCGAAAGTGCTCCTGTGCTGGCGCAGCACCTCTCTGATTGCTTCCGCCGTCTGCTCCTTGATGTCCGTACCTAGCTTCCATTCCTTACCCTGCTCAGCTTCTTTGCCCCCTGCTAGTGCCGCAACATTCTCCTTTCCTCCCGTGCCCTGCTCAACAGCTGCATACGCCGCCTGCTTCTCTCCTTGTCCTTGCCTTTTTCCGGTCTCTCCTCCCTTATCAGCTGCCCCCTTCCTCATCTCTTTGATTAACCATCTCAGCGAGTGCTGGTCTATGGCTCTTCCTAAAGCTGCTCTGCGCATCCCTTCCTCTACCCCTTCTGCTGCGGTTGCTCCTGGCAGGTATCCCATGGCTAACTCCCGCTCCAAAGCCGTCGGTTCCTCCCACTTCTTCTTCCGGTGATCGTACACCATCCCTGGTCCTGGTATTCCGTCCACCTCGATGAAACCTTGTGCCCTGGTGTATGCCACTAATGTAGGCCATGCCCTGCGAGCTTCCCCCACCCGGTTGCACTGGTACTGCCGCGGATGATCTGGTTTTACCACTGGTGCCGCCACCCTCCCTGGTTCTAAAATATCCTCTACTATCCTGCTTTCGTCCCTCTCCACTCTTGCTAGTCTTGCCCTCAGTTCCCCGTCTGGCAAGACGTTTTGCCAGTACTGCCGCACCCTATGACAGCGTGCCCCCAACCGTGCCCCATCACAGCTCACTCCTCTCCCCAGTTCTGCCTCCACCAGCTCCCTTACTGCCCTGACCGGCTCGCGTACGTCATTCCTCATATCCCTAAACCGGGGAGAATTCCACATATCCCTAGAAGTACCCTGACACTCCCATCCCGCCACTAACAAATCCACTTTACCCCAGCTGCTCACGTCTTCTTTCGTGAGCTGCCCCACGTCCCATTTCTTGTTCTGCATGGCCTCCCGTAGTACTTCTTTCGTCAGCTGCGCGGGGTACTGCTGCTGTAACATTTGAGCATGCTTCCATGCCATTCTCCTCACCTCTGGGTCCAATTCTACGTATACCCACTTCTTCACCCTCAGGCCTGCTTCCAAGGCTGCTGCCAAGCCCGCTCCTATTCCCCCGAACAGCTCCACTAGTGTAATGCTATACTGATCCAGGTGAGCGCTGCCGTTGCTCTTCCCCACACTTCCTCCCCTCCTGCTGTTCTTCCTCAGTCCTTCTGCTCTCCACGCCTTCTTGGGTTCTGTCTTAACAAACCGTACTGGTAGTTCACTCAGCTCCTTCCCTTCCTCCCAAAAGTCCGAACGGTAGAGCACCTGCTCCTGCCAGGTACAGATAGTGGTGCCTATCTTGAACAGCAGCTCCATTCCTAGTAGGATATCATAGTCTTCTGATTCTGTCAACCCACACTGCACTCTGATAGTGGTCTCCCCCTTCTCTCCCGGCTGTAAGGTTATCTCTATCAGGTCCCGTGTGCATGGCATCCACTTGGGGGCCCCTCCTTCTGCTGTCATGATCAGTATGCCCTTGCTTACAGTCTCTAGGTTCCCTTGCGCTCGCAGTTGTGCCGTCAGCTTCTTCCCGATTAGGATGCTCTGTGCTCCTGTATCCACTACCGCGTTTTCTACCAAGATTCCTCTGACCGCCACGGCTTTCGGTTCCACCACTAAGGCTGTGGGCTGACAGACTAGCCTTTCCTCGGGGTGACGCCGTGAGGTGCTGACTTTCCCTTGATTCTCCTGCCGCCTGGAAATTCTCCGCTCTTGTAATTTCTGCTCCGCTCTGCCATCTGTAGTGGGAGTGGTGGCGGCGGCAGTGGTGGCGGCGGTGGGAGTGGGGGAGGCGGCAGTGGTGGCGGCCGAGGTGGTACCAGTAAGAGGGGAGGCTTTGGCGGTGGTCAGAGGCAGCAGCAGCAGCGTCAGCGTGAGACCCCGTCGCCCCAGGAGCTTCGTGAGTGGTTTGCTCAGCGTGGGGCGTCTGGGGGTAGTGGTCGCTGCCCGTATGTCATACGCACAGGTGACCGCTCTGGTCAGATATGCGGGAAGTTTCACACCCAGCACCGCTGCTTCTCCCATCTTGACGACGCCTTTCGCGCAGAGTTTCCCGACGCGACTGAGCTCCCCCGCTGGGCAGGACTGCTTAGGCAGAATGTGGATATCTTTGCACTTGACTATGATGCTATCCTTGCTGCCATGTATGCTTTGACTGTTAGTGCTGAGGGTGACTGTTACCTGTGTACGCCGCCCGACCCAGGCATAGCGACTCCTGCTCTAGGTGCTGGTGAGGATGCTGCCCTAGGTGCGTGTGAGTCTGCTGCTCTAGGTGCTGGTGAGTTTGCTCTCTCTGGTACTGCGCCGGCTGAGGCCTTGCACACCTTCGCGCTTGACTCAGGTGCTTCCCGCTGTTTCTTTCGCGACAGTACCGCACTCACACCGCTCCCTGCACCTGTTGCTGTCTCTGTGGCTGACCCCTCTGGGGGCCCAGTCCTTGCACGTTCCTCCACTGTTCTCCCGTGTCCGGCGGTTCCGTCTGGCTCAGTGTCAGGTCTTCACCTCCCCTCGTTCTCTACGAACTTGGTGAGCAACGCCGTCCTTCATGATGTATGGGTTGACACCTTTACTCCAGGAGGACAGTGTGTGGCGATCTGTACTTGCTCCTGGACTGGCCGGCACGTGGCCACGTTCACCCGTGCGCCTGGCTCGAGTCTGTACACACTGACTACTGTGTCTCCTCTGGTAGCTGCGTCTGCGTCTGCGTCAGGTCAGCTAGCGGCCCCCTGCTCGTGTCGTGCTCTGTCACACCGGACCCTCCTTTGGCACCACCGTCTTGGTCACCCCTCAGTGCACCCCTCCGCTGCGCAGCCCCAGGTCTCCCCTCTCCCTTGGCGGCATAGCCATGGTCCCGTATTCTGGTTCCCCTTCCTCAGAATCTTCCCCTTCGTCATCCCCCCAAGCCAGCAGAGCTTTCTCGGGGTCTTCACTGATCCCTGATTTCTCCATCTGAGCTTTCAGTTTCGCCAACTCTCGTTCTAACTGCAGCTCCCTTGCAGTTTTCCCTTTCGCCCTGTCTCCCTTGCTGTAGCATCTAGCTTCGGTATGGCCTTTCTTCCCACACCCCGTGCAGGTCGGCGCCTTGGGGCAGTCACGCCTGAAATGTCCCTTTGCTCCACAGGTGTCGCAGATTATTCCCACCGTACAATCCCTCCGAAGATGTCCTTGCTCTCCACATTTATGGCAGCGTCTCGGGTCTTCCGATGGCCTCTCTTTCCGCTCTTCCTCTCCCCTTCTTCCTTCCATAGCTGCCCAGGCCGGCCGTCTCCGCTCGTTCGGTCGGCTGGAACTCGACCCCTGCATGCCATCATAAAATCTCTTCCCTTCCTCCACTTCTTTCGCCACCTTGTAGACTTGCCGCAGCGTGGCGCGTACTCCCAGGACGTACAGCTGACTCCTCATGTCGCCTATCAGGTCCTTGTCCAGACCGTTGACAAATTTCGTCACCAAGAGGCGCTCCTCCATACACCCCATGTCCTCTGCCAGCTCCAGCAGCCTGTTGTAATAGGCTAGCAGCGACTCCGAAGTGGCACGCACGAAGTTCTGAAATTCCGCCATCCGTTCCGCCGAGTGCCCCGGGAATTGCTCCTGCAAACTCTCCAGAAATCGGTCCGTTATCATTGCTGGTGAGAAATCGCCTCTCTTGCACTGCATCAACAGCCCCTGCCTTTCCACGCGGTAGTGAGTCAGGGCCTCGCCTTTCAGAGTCCGTCCCAAACCTCTAAAGAACTCGATAGGGTCTAAGCCCTCCCTCTCCCAAAGGTAACGCAGGTCGTCTATCATCATCAAGTAGTTCTTGAGCGTGGGCTCCTCCCCTGGTGTCCCCGAGAAACGGTCCGGCACTTCAATTTTCGGTAGAGCTGCGTTCATCGTGCGGCCCGTCCCCCAGCTCGTGTTCTCTCTATCCCCGCTGTCCACCGGCCGACCACCTTGCCTAGCTTCAGTAGCCTCGTATCCACCCGCCGAAAAGCTGTGGTACGCTTCTCCTCCTCTCTGACGGCGTCTTTCTTCGTGATGTTCATCTTCCCCGCGCTGACTGTGCCGTTCTTCCCGAAACTCTTCTCTTCCTTGAGCAGGATTATCCCCTCGAGATCCACTCCTCACATGGCCGATTCCACTCCCGCCAGCGACTGATCCACCAGTAGCGCTAGGCGGCGGCTCCCCTTGTCGGTCGCCCTCCCTCTCTCGATCTGATCCCTGACCCCCGCGCGCGTTAGCATCGCCCTCTTCAGCACGGAATCCAGGTGTCCTGATTGGTAGGCCTTGTCCCTCCATCATCCTTGCAGGGAAACGGAGTCCCGAGCGCAGCTGATGAGTGTGCAGTTCCTGATCGTGCCTACTCATTCCTCACGGCGCATCACCGTGAGCGACTCGAGGCTACTAGCTTATCTCCTGTACTTAAGACAGTCAACAACCTTTTTGCTTGTATGTAGCAAGCGTAACACTCCCCCTCAGGGGCTCCGTCAAATTGCTTATAGCTTCTCCTACTGCTAGTTCCCTCTGGATTAGGAAAACAAATTGCAGTAAATGAGAAACATACAAGCAAAAAGCAAGAAGCCCGAGTGCTACTCCTGCCTACATCTATTCCCACCCCCTGCCTAGGTTGCTTCCTCCACAAGCAAGCTCCTGTGCACCAAGCGAGTCAGCCGGGCTGCTCGCGAGGTCTCCAAGGTGCTAGCTGTGTTCCCACTGGGCCCACTAGGCATGCACTGCCTTCCAGCCTGGTGACTTCGAATTCAATTCCCAGGCTGGCATTGAATTCGCCTTCCAGCCTTGTGACTTCGAAATTGAATTCACAGGCTGGAATTGAATTCGTCTCCACCAACCTCCTTGAATTCGCCTCCCACTAACCACCTCAAATTCCCCAGCTACTCGGCTCTGCAGTACAGTACAATACACTCCAAGCACACAAATGAAATTAGAGTACAAAAGCGGTAAACTATAGTACACCCTCACCTTGGCTGCTGTGGTATTCACACTTAGTTGCCAGCTAAGTGTTAATAACGCGACAGGGGGGAGGGAGAGGACAGAGGACAAGCAGGCAAGGTGACTTCAATCGACTCCCCCAACTCTCTCCGTACACAGCAGCCCTGCCAGCCCTGCCAGTCCTGCCAGTCCTGCCAGTCCTGCCAGTCCTGCCAGCCCAGCCAGCCCTGCCAGGCCTGCCAGGCCTGCCAGTCCTGCCAGCCCTGCCAGCCCTGCCAGCCCGGCTAGCCCTGCTAGCCCCCTAACCCTGAACCCCACACCCTGAGAAGTAAACCCTAATTCTCAGCGTACCATGCATCGGTTGGCAAGGATGGGTGAGTGGCAGACAGTGTAGGGCCCTGCCGGCCGGCCCCAGCAGTCCCAGCAGCAGCAGCAGCAGCGCGTCCAGAGACTCCTAACCCTGAACACCACACCCTAAACTCTGAGCACCCAAACCCTTAAGCCTCAGCATACCATGCATCGGTTGGCGAGGATGGGTGAGTGGCGGACTGTATACGGCCCAGCCAGTCCCAGCAGCCCCACCAGCAGCAGCAGCGCGTCCAAAGACTCCTCCTCCACCACCACCCGCACCTGCTGCACTCTCACCAGCGCCAGCGTTCCAGGCTTATAACGGGTACAGAGTGTACGGGAGCGCCAGAAGAGGTCCGTTGGGATTGACGTCAGGAGGCTGGTCCTGATCGGGTTGCGTGGGGGGAAAGTAGAGGAGGGAAACTGAAAACCCTGAATCCTGAAATTCAAATCTGCAAACCCGAACACTTCCATACGCCCTAACCCTAAAGGCCCTCACCATCGGCTCCTCTGGCCATCGTAGGTGGTCACTTGGATGCGGCAGGACCCAAACAGGCGAGTCTTGTGCGACCCCAGCTGAACCACAGATGCCACCTCCCCCACATGCACCCGAACCAGTGGAAGCACCGGCGGGCTGTGCTGTACACCATCCCAGATAAAGCCTTTCAATTCTCTTCCACGTCTAGAACTCCCCCTTGCACTGCTGCTGCTGCTGCTGCTGCTGCTTCTCATTCCCCTGTGCTCTGAGGCATCCCCTGGGAAAGCAGCTGTGCCTCTCCTGCGCTCTGGTTTGGTAGCAGTGGGGCCAGGAATTCTGCTGCTGCTCCCAGTGCTGCTGCTGGTGGTTTCTTCCTCAAAGAGGACGGTGAAGAAGAGGTCAGTGATGGAGATGCGCAGATATGGGATCAACGAGACATGCTTGTGGAGACTCAATGGTTGCAACAGACCCTGCTGCTGCTGCGGCTCCTCCTCCTCGTCCACCCCTCGCTGCTTTTCCTCCTCCTCAACTTCCACACCTGCTCCTTGCCCTGCTCGCATTCCACGCAGCACATCCCTTCGCCTCTTCTCAACTTCACCCCTCGTTACAAGCACCCTCATCTGCACCGCATGGCCCTGTCCTCTCGGCAGCAGCACCGGCAGCCCTCTCACAAACGCAAAGTCAGACCCTGTTTTGCCGTTCTGCATGCGAATCACCCACCTCCGCTTATTCCCTCTGCCCCTCCCACGCCCTCCTCCCCTTCCCCCAAATTTCTCCCTTCCCATCCCCCCTCCCCCTCCCCCCCCCCCCCCCCCTCCCCTACCACCAGTACCAGTAACCCCCCCATCTGCCCCCACTGCTTCCTCCCTCCCACCTTCTTCCTCCTCTTCATATCCACGCCCTTCTTCCCCCTCCATAGCCTCGGCTCCCCTCTCCTCCTCTTCCTCCCCATCCTCACCCTCGTCCTCTGCACCCCTCACCACCTCTGCCACCAGCCGCCACTGCTCCCACGACCCCTCGTTACTGTTCTTCACCGCAATGCGCCCACCGGGCGAGTTCGGCTCGTAGTGCACGCAAAGCGCTCGGCGAACTGGAGCCTGCACAGCATCTTGCTCTTGCATGCCTGATTCCCTGCTTCTGTCTGCATCTGGCCATGGACTGCCGCCCCTGCCTGTGCCTGCAGTACCTGTGCTAGTGCCTGCCTCTCTTCCTGCCCCTGTGTCTGCCTCCGTGCCTGTAACATCAGCAGTGTAAGGAGACTGAAGGCAGAACCAGCGGGAAACGGCACTCTTTCCATCTCGAGCAATGCTCCAGAAGGGGGTGTCATCCCAACACAACCCTTCATGCTGCTGCTGCCTCCCTTGCTGTCTCTCTTGCTCCTGCCCGTTGCGCATTTCCCTTGACTGCTTCCCCCAATCCCAACTGTGCGGCAGGAACGGTAAGGGATGCAGCTTGAGCTTTTCCCGCCACCCGCGGCTCTCCGGGAAATGGACAAGAAACACCGCCCGGTGGCTCGACGCAAGGCTGTAATGCGCCACAGACGACAGCCAGAAGCTTCCTGGAAGGCTGGGTGAGTCTTCGACTGTGAGGTACTGGCGTGTGTCAAGATTCCGGATGGCCACCAGAGAACCTGCTTGGGGTGTGGTGGGGGTGTGAGGGAAGCAAGATGTGAGGGAAGTGGGATGTGAGGGAAGCGAAGTGAGGGTGAGAAGGAATGTGAGGCATGAGCGGGATACAAGGCTTTAGAGGGATGCTGAGAGGGATGTGAAGGGTGGGTGTGTCTTCTACTGTGAGGTACTGGCGTGTGTCAAGATTCCAGATGGCCACCAAAGAACCTGTTTGGAGTGTGGTGGGTTTAGAAGTTGCGAGGGATGTGAAGAAATGTGAGGCATGCGAAGGACAACATAAGAGGCCGGAGGGGATGTGATGGTATAGATGAGAAGCATAAGAGGCACAAATGAAAGGGTCTTCAGTGCAAGAAGAAACGGTCTACCTTGCTGGAGATTCACAAGTGATCCAGCACTACCAGCGACAGCAGCAGCAGCATCTGCTTCTGCAACACCAGTCCGCCTGCCCTCACCACCTGCGCTCCCAGTGGCGATACTGGCAGGCGCACCGCGGTGGGTTGACTGGAAGGCGAGTAACGACTCAGCAGATTGTGCTTCGGCCGCTGCTGCTGCTGCTGCTGGTGATGGCGAGATGGAGGAGAGGAGCGACAGTAACATCTGTGGGGAACGGAGGGAGCGTGGGTTTGAGAGGACGTGTCACGTGTTGACAGCATATGCACTAGGAATTTAGTATGGTTCAGCCACACTAGATCACGCTCTAGCATGCGTTTATTTTGTTGACTCAAAAGACAGCTCATTACGGCACTATGAATTCAGCCTGGTTGAGCCACATTGGATCACGCTCTAGCATACAGGCTGTTTTTTTAGTCGACTCAAAAATCGCCACATTGGATCATGCTCTAGCATACAGGCTGGTATAGATGTGGCACCTTCTTCTTCTTCCCCTGTACCTCCGTCATCACTCAGCAAGAGCCAAATCAGCTTCATGCTTCTATGCTACCAGAGTTGACTTTTGAGTCAACTCAAAAGTCAACTCAGTACATATCTCACCATTACTACCGCCTAGCTGTGCTGGCAGTTCCTCTCACCTGTATCTCCGCCACTGTTACCGCCACATCAGCTCCCTGGACATCCACACCCCCCTCCACCGCGTCCCACCACTTTCTAGCTGGACCGATGTACGTCGAACCACTACTACTACTACCCACACCACCTTCGGTGCCAAAAATGAATCTCTGCTGCAGCCTTAGGTGAGCAGAAAGGCCTGGCAGAATGCTGCTATCCGCACCCATATCAGCTTCACACTCCCTGTCCTCACAGTTCTCGTTGTCAAAACCACCATCGTCACTATCACTCCCACTACCTCTGCTACTGCCACTGCCTCTGCCACTGCCCCTATCACTATCCCCAGGCTCATCCTCCAAGTTCTCACCCCCATCTTCGCCCTCCTCCCACTCTTCAACAGCGGCAGCCGGAGCAGCACGAGCGGCATCCGCAGCAGCAGCAGAAGAAGCAGCAGCAGGAGAAGCAGTGGTGGCAGCACTGGTGGCAGAGTCACCTGAAGCAGCAGCTGTGCGAAAATCATCAGAGGTCAAACGAGCCTCATGGAAACCACGACTCCGCTCTAAGCCTTCCCCTCTGACGCTCTTCACTGCCAGGCGCTTGAGGTCAAACGACACTGCATGGATGCTGGGGTTCTGCCGGCTTTCGCTGCTCTGCCGGCTCTGCCGGTATCTGATACTGCTGCTGCTGCCACTGCCACTGATGGTTCCGACACTGCCGGAACCCACAGCGGCATCCACTCCAACCGTATGTGCTGCATCCACTCCTACCGCATTAGCTTCGTCTACTCCACACGGGGCAATCTCAGAAGAACAGAACGCGCTCAGGATCATGAGAAATCCACCTTTCCTGGCGTCCGGGTGGAGCAGAAACAACCGAACCCCATCCACGTCCACCCGTGCATGTGCACACAGCTGCCTGAGACTCTCCATGTAAGAAGGAGCTCCGGACTCTGCTGCTTCTGCTGATGCTCCATGTGCAGCGCTTGCAGACGATAAGGCCGCGTGCCCCGGTGTACTGAACGAGAAGAGAGGGGAGATGGCTGAGAGAGAGAGGGAGAGGCGGGAGAGAGCAGCAGGGTCTAAGGCGAGGAGCCCTCCCTGGCAGGACAGAGAAAAAGAGTCTCTTGAAGATGTGCAGGTAGAGGCACATGCGAGGGCAGAGAGTGAGCCAATTGGTGCTAAGGGAATGCGATACTCTATAGACAAGTCAGCTGCTTCTGAACGCCACCGCCGTCGCTGCTGCTGCCATGGGTGCTCCTGTTGACCGCCGCTGCCTCCGCCACCACCGCTCCTCTTGAGCCTGCCCACTCTGCCAGTCCTGCTGCCGGACCTGTCAGACGTGCCAAGCCTGGCACTGCTGCCACCCTTGATGGACCCCACACAAGCTGACAGCTGCCACACCTCGTAGCAAGCACATCCAGCTGGTAAGCCTTTTCCATCAATCCTCCTCCTGCTGCTCCTGCCGCTGCTGTGGCTGCTGCTGCTACTGTGGCTGCTGCTGCTGCTGCTGCTGCTTCTCCTCTCTCGAGGCCCGACAAAGCTTGGCGTTGACTGAAAGCGCTTCTGCATTGTCTGCCGACTCTTTTCCTCCTCCAGCCCCTTTTCCTTTGCACCACCACGACTAGACAACGCAGGCACAGACCACAAACACTCTGCTGCTGCTGCTTCTTCTGCTGAATCATCCGCTTTACTCCCTCCAACCCCTTGTTCATTCGATTGCACAACCCGAGCAGAGAAATGGTCCATTCGAACTGCGTCCACTGACGCATGCAGCACAGGCAGTGCAGCAAACAACAGTCCACCTCCGCTGCTCCCCTTTCTTCCACCACTGCTACTCCAATCCCTGCCACCACTACTCCTCCTCTCCCTGCCACAACTCCTCTCCTTCTGCTTCCGCTGCTGCCTCTCCTGCTGCTTCACCAGGTGGACCACCTGCCGGACCACACCAGGTGCATCGGAATGGCAGGAGAGCAGCAGAGGCTCAAGTCCCAGCAGCACCTGCTGCTCTGCGTTGTCGTCACACACAAGCACGTCTAGAGAGATGCTCTGTGCCTCTGCTGCAGCCACCTGCTGTTCCCTTCCTCCACACGTGACAGTGCTCGTGCCGAGTGTTGGAGGAGCTGACTCCACTGGCCCTTGCCTGTCCGCTGCACTCTTTCTAGCTGCACTCTGTTGCTCACCCCCACCCCACACTGCTCCCCTGCGCCCCTCACCTTTATTGCCTGCGCTCCCATCCCTCGCCCTTCTTCGCCTCGCCTCCTCTTGCTCTACCCTTCCTCTCTGCACCCCATCTTTCTTCCCTCCTCGAATCAGTCCCAGGGCTTTCCACCAACCCTTCCACCTTCTGTGATTCACCTGCTCTGACATGTCTCCCACACTGCGTGTCTCAGCCCTCCTATCATCCCCATCCCTCCCATCCTCCTCCCCATCCCTCCCATCCTCCTCCCCATCCCTCCCATCCTCCTCCCCATCCCTCCCATCCTCCTCCCCATGCCTCCCATCCTCCCCATGCCCAGAGGAGCTTCCATACCCACCATCGCCATCATCCCCTTCTCCTCGGCCATCCTCCTCCTCACCTCTCCACTCCTCGTCACCGTTCTGCACTCCAGCATCCACCTGCGCCACCTTACCCGCAAGCCCTCTCCCTCGCACCATCCACAGCTGTTCGGAGGTCGTTCGATGCAGTCGCCCTCGCCCCCCACCATGCTCACTTGCCCCGGCCCCTTCGCCCCTTGTCTCCCCAAGTCCCACTCCTCGCATACTGTCTCTGTCTCGTGTAAGCTGCCTCACAAGCACACCTCCTCCTACCCCATCAGCTTTCCCCCACTCCTTTTGGGGCGCCTCAAAAGCTTTCCCCCACCGCTTCTTCCCCCACTCCAAGCGCATTTCTCCCTCAGGGAGCCTACCACCCTCACCGCACTCCTTTCTAGACAGCCTAACGCCGTCCATAGCTCCCCATTTACCCCTCATCTGCTCGCTACTTCTCCTGCTGAACGGCACTTCATCACCCACACGCCTTCCCTCTGCTCTTTCCCGTCCCACACCCCACCAGCTATTCTTTTCCTCTTTCTCCTGTTCCTTTTCATTGTCCTCCTGCCCGGCCTGCAACTCCCCCTCATGCTTCTCTGCTGCTCCCCCTTCCTCCTCCCCTGTGCCACGTGTCAAGGGACAGCTCAGCACGTCTGGAAGCGTCCTAGCTGGCACAGACACGACAGTGAAGGGTACTGTGGCGCAGAGAGCAGCAGAAAGAGAGGCGATCTCGAGACCGAGGGACAGTGAGAAGGATGAGGAGGAGGAGGAAGAAGAGGAGGAGGAAGAAGAGGAGGAGGAGGAAGAAGAGGAAGAGGATGGAGCAGAAGTGGAAGCGGAGGGATCTGCAGACGTAGGATCAGATGGCATATGCAATGTGCTTGGGGAGTCTGCATGACTGGGAGCTATATTTACAGCGCTTGACGTATGTACAGCTGCTGCTGCTGTTGCTGCTGCGGGCTGCGTTGCTCTGCTTGTGGTGGGGGTATCCTGGGACGTGCCAGTAGCAGGCATGGCATCAAGAATGGCTTGTAACACCTGCCAGGGGAGGAGGCAAACGGGAGAAGTCACGCCAGGTATGTTGAAGCAGGGAAACAAGCACAGGACAGAACGGGAGTTGGTGTTGACGACGTAGGGTCTCTCTCCTCGCGAGAGGAGTGCCGTATTCCCCGTTTTACGTACACTGTGCATGTGATTGTGTGATCGTGTGACTGAATTGTGAGGAGTGTGGTAGTACAGCAATCTCCGCTCTCACTCAACACAGTTAGCACAGTTTCTCACCTGTGGAAGTGCGTGAATGATAGTAGATGGCACCGAAGTTGCTACCACAGGGACTCGGATCAGAGCAGCCTGCAAATCCTTTTTGAAGGCGCCCCAAGAATCAAATCTCACCAGTGGAAGTGCGTGGATGATGGTGGCTGGCACCAAAGCTGCTACAGCAGGAACTCGGATCAGAGCAGCTGCAGATGTGATTGTATCGGACGTGATTAAAGTGGTGGTCTGGCATCGGTACAAGGAGGCAAGCACGCTGAGTTGAGTTGGAGCCAGCACCACAGTCCACACAGAGACACTCCTCGTCACCGCATCACACTCCCCACTCTTCCTCTTCCACGGTCCCCTCTGCCTTTGTCTACTCCCATGTGATTGCAACCCATTAATCTCATCAACTGCTGCCTCATCCCTTTCTGCACCCACACCCACTGCCTGGATGCTGAGCCCCGTTATAGTCACATCACTATTGTGCCACACCTGATGCACATCCACTGCCCCATACCCCACTGCCCCATCCTTGCTTTGTTTCCCACTGTCTCCCACCATCGGATTGCACTCTCTCCCCCTGCGGGAGGATCTCGGCCGTCCGTTCCAAACAGCCTGCTCCAACCTCTCCCAAACCGCGCTCGTCTTCTCACCTTCCTCCTCTTCCATATCAGCACGTCCACTCCCCATCTTCCTCTCCTCTCCTCTCCCTCTCCCCCTCTCCTTTCTTCTCTTTCTCTTTACCTTCGTGCCGCTATCCTCCTGCACCTCCTCCTCTCCTTGCACTTGACCCCTTTTTTCTGCTTGCCCGGCATTTACTGCTGTAGGGCTATTGCCAAAGTTACCAATGGGACCCGTGCATAAGTTGTACGGCGGTTTGGGCCGCAGCCTGATTGCAAGAGAAGCAATCTCAGCCACTATCACATCTGCTCCGCTCATTACAGTCACACGATCTTCCTGCGGTGTCTCTGCTGCCTCTGCTGCTCCCTCTGCTGCTTCCTCTGCTGCTCCTTCTGCTGCTCCTCCTACACGTTCTCTCACTGCCTCTGGCGCTTCTCTTCCCACTACAGCCCTGGTCAGAAACACCCCCTCTGTGGAGACCTCTGCATCCATACCCCCTCTCACACCTGACACACCTTCTCCCCCTATGGGAAAGCCACCAGACATGCCTGCCCGGCCACCAGTGCTTTCCTCCTTGCTGCTGCTACAGGTCAACCCAGAAACAGCTGCAGCTGCTGCCGCCGCTGCCACGTCAGCCTGAACTCCAACAGCCAACCACAGCCTGCCACTTGTCGCGTCCACATGCCACAATGCACCCGGGATGATTCCGCCTAGAGCCGACCGCAGAGCTGCAAACAAGCTGTCCAGGCTGCTGGGATGGTTACAGCAAGCGATGTGCTTGTTGTGTCTGTCATTACTGGTATGTGCAACACCCGTGGGAAAATCATCAATAGTCGGGTGCTTCACACTGATCGCGTCTTTGCCTTCCACTGGGCATATACTGCTTTCTCTGCTGCTCCTGTCCCTATCCTTGCTAATATCCTTTCCCACACTCCCCCCACTCCTGCCCCCCTCGCTGCTGCTCCCCCCACTGCTGCTTCCCTCACAACCACTCCCTTTGCCTCTACTCATCTCGGACACCTGCACGAGTAGCTTTCCCAACGCCACGAATGCGCCAATCAGATCGGGACTCAAAGCCAGGAGCGAATCACCAGCTGCCACGTGGACCTCCACTGGCCTGTCCGGTCTCGTGGAGGCAGGAGCAGGGGCGACCATCTGGAACGACAGAAACGGCTCCTGATTGGCTGCACTTCCACTTCCGGTGTTTTCGAGAACAGCAGAGTTGCTGGCACCAACGCGTGAACCAGCTGCTGCTTCCTGTGGTTCTGCCTTCACCCGCACTCTCTCCGTCGCCTCCTCCTCCCTGCTCACCGACCCCCACACTGCTGCTGCCGCTGCCGGTGCTGCGTCTGCGAGGGCGAACGGAGGCGGCAGCAGTGGAGGAGCGATAAGCCCTGGTGCGACTAGGTTGGGTGGGGTGATGGAAGGTGTGGGAGGGTCAGGATCGCTGGTGCCAGCAGCTGGCTGGGCCGGTCCACCTGGCAGCAGGGCAAGGCCGATAGGGTCCGGAGGTATAGGCTCTGGGAGGGCGGCAGGGGTTGGTGGGGGTGTGGCAGGGGCAGGCGAGTGGTCGGGTGGGAGGGGTGGGGCGGGAGTGCGTGGGAATCGAGGTGGGGTTGGGGGTAATGGTGGTGTTCCAATCCCACCTCTGGAAGCTTCGTCTTCGTCTGACAGGCGCAGGTGCAGAAGGCGAGGCAGTGGAGTGAGCAGGAGGCAGCGAATCAGATAGGAGACCAAGCTTCTTGATTTCTCCTCCGTAGCTGAATCAGCCTCTGTGTCTGCCCCTCCTCCACCACCCTCCTCGTTGCCACCATCCCCCTTCATCTCAGTACCCATCGATCTTAGTCCTTCCCGGGCAGACAGGCTCAAGAAAGGCACCATGCTCTTGTGTGAGTTGGAGGATGCGTGTGGGGCAGAGCACGTGTGTGAGGAAGAGCACATGCAGCCGTGCACTGTATGCACCTCAGCGTTGCACTGGAAACCACCTGATGGCAGCGACAACATGGCTGCTCGCACTCCTGACACCGACACATGCAGTGCGTCTGCATCTGCATCACCCCATCCCGCCTCATCATCACCACCAGCAGGGGCACTACCAGCAGCATCACAGTCTCCTTTGCCACAGGAGTCAAGAACCACAGAAGGCATCCCCGCTCCCACTGCTCCCACTGCTCCCACCGCTCCTACCAGTCCCACCACCATGTCTAACCCAGCCGCTCTTACCTCCCACCCACCGCTTCTGCTTCCCTCTAACCCATCCCAAACAATCTCCGCTCCCTGATCTGCTCTCGCCCATTCACCCCTCGTTTCCTGCAACTGGCCCAAGGAATCACTCCAGTGGGCCTGTTTCCGAGCCTGCTTCCAACCCTGCTTCGCAACCATTCCCTGAGCCTGCTTCCGAGCCAAGCGCCGAGCCAGAACCACTCCAGTGGATCCGAGCCTGCTCTCAAGCTCTGTCAGCTCGCCTTCCAAAGCAGCAACTGCCTTTCTCTGCTGCGCTCTCACCCCCTCCCTCCAAAACGCCAAAGACAACGGCTTGGAAATACCGCGCTGCTTCTTCGGGGCAGGAAAAAACTTTCCAGTGGCTGCCAGGAGCCAATCAAAATAGAGAGTGGCGTATTGTTTCCTCAATGCCACTGCCTCTACAGCTCCGTCTAGTCTTAGCTGCTTGTTTTGCTGAATCTCCTGCACCACAAGGCAAATCGCGTGCTGCCACCTGGCATGTGCTGACGTGGCTCTCTGGGTTTCAGTGTTTGAGTGCTGGGCTGTGATAATCTCCTCCCCGGTCCCAATGCCACTGCTGCCACCAATCCCAACCCCATCCCTACCCCCATCCCCACTCCCATCCGTACCCCCATCTCCACCCCGACACCCACTCCCACTCCCATTCCCACTCCCACTCCCACCCCCACTCTCACCCTGACCCCCACTCCCACTACCACTGGTTAGCAATACACACGCTGGAGAAAGCACCCCTTCGGTTGCTGCTGTGGAGCACGATGGTCCAGGTGACGGTGGTGCTGCTGGTGCTGCTGCTGGTGCTGCTGCTGGTGCTGCTGCTGCTGCTGCTGCTGCTGCTGCTGCTGCTGGTGGTGGTGCTGCTGCTGGTGCTGCTGCTGGTGCTTCTGCTGGTGCTGCTGCTGGTGCTGCTGCTGGTGCTGCTGCTGGTGCTGCTGCTGGTGCTGTTGGTGCTGCTGCTGCTGGTGCTGTTGGTGCTGCTGCTGATGGTGCTGCTGGTGGTGGTTCTGGTGGGTTTGAGGAAGGAAGGCTGGGAGGGAGATGAGAACGGGCGGAGGAGGGGGCAGGTCCAGCAGGCAAGGCAGGCAGGGACGGAGCAGGCGGAGAGGGAGCAGGTGGAGAGGGAGCAGGTGGAGAGGGAGCAGGTGGAGAGGGAGCAGGTGGAGAGGGAGCAGGTGGAGAGGGGGCAGGTGGAGAGGGAGCAGGCGGAGAGGGAGCAGGTGGAGAGGGTTGGAGGAGCACAGCAGCAGCAGACGCCAAGGGGAGGAGGTCCGGCAGGCCTCTCACACGGACCATGACAGACTGATGGAGGCACACTGCTGTGTGCTGCACAGCCCAGTCCCGGGAATACTGCAGCACTACGGACCCTCTGAATGGGTCGATCAGGAAGAGCTTATTAGGAAAGACCTTGGTGGTTGTTGGGAAGGAGCTGGGGTGATTGAAGGGGGAAGGGAGCAGGGATGATGTGGACTGGAACGAGTTGTTGGCCGGCCTGGTTGCTTCTAAAAGGGGCCGTTTTGGCTTCTTGGTTTCCCCTGTCTCCTCCCTCCCTTCACCACCTTCCTCCTCTACTTCCTCTACTTTTCCTCCTTTATCCCCCCCTTGCTCCTCCTCCTTCCCAACCTCCTCCACCTCATCCTCTTCCTCCTCATTCTCTTCCTCCTCATCCTCCCCATCCTCGTCCTCACCCTCCCCTCCCTTCCCACCCGTCCCTTCACCACTCTCCGCGTCAAAATTTCCCTTTCCCCTCATAACCCCATAAGCCAAACCCTCATCTTCCACACCTTCCCTCTCCTCTCCCTCTTCCTCCCACTTCCCTCCCACCTCATGACCCTTACCTCCCACCTTCTCTCCCACACCCCTTTCCAGCCACAATGCCAGCCCACTCACCTCCCACCACTGCTCCAACCCACCCTCCCTCCAAACCTCCCCTCCTCTCCCACCCCCCAGACTCACACCCACGATCAAGCTTGCCGTTTTCCCCACCCACACAGCCGCTGCTATCACCCACACCGCCACCGCTCTCAACCGCTCTGCAGCTGCCTTCAACCACCTGGCTGCCGCCTCAGCACGAGCAGCTGTGGCCCTGGCTGAGCCCAGCAATTGAAACGCCAGGAGAAATACGAGGATGAAAGAGCCTACAGCCCAGCACAACAGCACAGACTGCTGTATCGGGTTCAGTAAACCTCCTGCTGTTGCTCTTGCTGCTGCAGTTTCATACAATGCGCCATCTGCTGCGGCAGCTGTTGCCGCTCCTCCAACATCCCAGCTGCTCCCTGCTGAAGAAATCTCTGCTGCTGCTTCCACCCATCGAGTCCGCACCAGAGCCTTCCAAGAATACCCCCTAAAGGGAACACTCCTACGCACCGCCATGGACAGCAATTGCTGCCGCAGGGTCCCCTTGCCAGCACCACCATCGGGGTGTTGATAATTCTTCAGCAGGAAAAAATGATGCAGTGCAGACACTGCGAATAGCACGCAAAGCCCCCCCACCACCACCAACAACCACAAAAGAATTCTCATCCACCTGCGCACGCCCCCTTCCCACAGCATATCCCATGGCTGCCTGTCTTTCCTGCCTCTCACCCCACCCACACTGCTGCTGCTGCTGCCCCTGCTCCTGCTCCCCTCGCCCGAAGCAACAGGCTGGTCTGCCTCGCGCCCACAGCCTTCTCTCCCTGTATTATCCAGTACAGCCCCTGCGCCCACTGCAGCTCCTGCATCCACTCCAGCAGCCCCCGTGTCTGCCCAGCTACTTGAGCCTGCCTCATTACCTAGAAGCCCTCTCTTGTTGGATTCAGAGCTGGTCTGTTGGCACGAAAGCACCAGCCTTTCAAAGCCAAGACAGCAGGCGGCAGGTGCAGCAGCAGCAGCATCGCTGCCGCCTCGCCTTCCTTGGTCCTCCACTCCCTGCATCCCCTGCTCTCGACCCTTTCCTCCATCGCCCTCTCTTCTCACACACTGCTGCTCCTCACAACACTCATCGCGCTCTTGCTCTGCCCGCTCCAGACTAACACATTCGTTCTCCAGCGGCTGGACGTGCTTGCCCTTACAGCAGGAACGGCACGTGCACTGGTAGTATGGGGATGTGGGTGGTGCGTGTGGCTTGTGTGGATTGTGTGGCTTGTGTGGATTGTGTGGTGTGTGTGGCTTGTGTGGCTTGTGTGGTTGCAGGTGCAGGCGCAGGCACACGTCGTGGAGCTCCACACGCATCCACGACGCCAGCTGTTGGCCCAGCCACTGGGAGAACGAGAAGGGCGAATGGCGCTGCGCCACGTGGTGCTTGATGGCCTCGTGCAGGCTTGCTCCCTGGGAAGGAAGGAAGAACCGTGAGAGAGGAGGAGAACATGAAGCGATGACCTCTGAAATGGACACATGGATACATGCAGCTATGGATGAGGCATGGCAGAGTGGTAAGAGGACCAGAGGGGCAGGCAGAATACGATTGGCTGGAAGTGAAAGCAGAGACATCTCAAAATCAGGTGTGCAGCTTGCAAATTTAGCGTGACGTAACGTAATAAAGGTGTCGATGGGTCCGGTCCAATAGAGCGACCTCCATTGATACATCTTCACTGCACACCCTGCCCTCTGCCTTCTCCCTACCCACCACCGCCTCCTGCTGCCCATGCACTGTGCCACAAACAGAGCTCAACCTACCTCAGGGTCCAATAGAGCGACCTGCTGATCCATTGATACATCGCCACTGGACGCCCCATTCTCCGCCTTCTCTCCACCCACCACCACCTCCTGCTGCTCGTGCGCCTTGCTGCCATTTGTTTGTGGCATGCAAACGGGCCTGATGCAGTGGCAGGGAGGTGGGGGAAGGGGGCAAGGGAGTGAGACAGCTTGGCGTAGGAAAACCGGGATGAGCAGTTGCAAGAACCAGAATAGATGGAGCCTACTGACGTGAGGTAGGCCATTTCCACCTGAAGGCAACGTGGGCTCTAAAGTGACATGAAGGCCGTTGACGATCAACAGGATTGCGCCAATCCCAACCCAAAATGGACCGTAGTGCTCAGTACTAACCTCGGCTGTAAGGTGACATGAAGGCCGTTGACGATCAACCTGACGTGCGCCGATCCCAGCAGCCGAATCTCCAGCCTCACCGACTCAACACGCGCAGCGGAGACACGCAGGGAGCTACCCTCCCCGAGCCACTCCTGGTTCAGTGAATCTGGACAGGCCAGGGCTTCGGACAGGTCCACTGAGCCGTTGAGGATGCTCGCTCGGACGGCATCTCGATGGATTGGCTGCAACGGGAGAAGCTCACATAGCTTCTGACGGAGGATTTTCGCTATATAAGAATCTAGGCCCATCCTGAATCTGATTTAAGAATCTAATAGCGAGGATGGAGTCCTACATCATCATCGACAGATTGATTTTACTATGCTCCTAAAGGCGCGTATTCAATGGAGAAAGCTCGAATAGATTCTTAACGGTGCTAACTCTAGCGAGGATAGAACCCAGCGCCATCCTCTCCCTGGTTGTAAAGGCTCCTGGAAGCGCGTAATCACGCGGTGCGCTAAAAACAAGTAACGAGTCAGCTCTGCGAAAAAATGGATTCCCTTTCCCTG